ACGTTAACTTAACGAACTAACGTAACGTAAACGTAAACGTAAACGAAAGTACGTAAGAAGTAGAGTAGAGAGAGAGAGAGAGAGAGAGAGAGAGAGAGAGAGAGAGAGAGAGACCACAAACACTTCGGATCGGGCAAAACGCAGAACGATCACTCCAACCAGCTTTGTGAGGGTAATCCCACTGCAATAGGCCAATGAACAAGAGGTAGACTTATAAATAACAAACTCTATAAGAAGTGAGATTTCTAAGAATTTTTCAGATTAATTAGTGGATCCGTCTATACTTGATGCACTTGTCATGCACAAAATACCACTGTGTACTAAAAATGATCCCTGGAGTAAGTCGCATCATGCAGAAAGCTGATTTGTCCATACGGAATAACGAGATAAAATCATATTTCCTCTGACAGTATAATCATACATTGGATTTATTATACTCTTTTCCTAAGCATTACTATATAGGAAAAACCCTGATACCTGAAAACAGATGCCCCCATTGTGCCTAGAGCCTCTTTCATCCGATGTGTTCTGTCACCATCGCTTTGCTGCAGAAATCCAATACGTGTTATTCGTTATTAAGAGTTCCAAGTTGCTACCAAGAGGCCAAAATGTAATTCTGCATTGCTCACCATTTCCATAGTGGGTAGAATAGATTTTATATACGGGGAGAGAGAGAGAGAGAGAGCATAAATCCATGAATGACGAGATAAAACCCCGTTAAACATCAAAATCTATAACATGGATGTAATAATATTTTACCAGTAATTGAAGTAAATCAATTAATAAAATGGAACGAATCAACACATGAACTTTTTCACTGCCTCTACTTAACAATTACCTCTATTTACAGCTCCTCCTCAGAGAACAAAGCTAAGTAATCTACTACTCGTATCTAAGTTCTCTGTATCTTCTCTCATTGCGATAGGTGTTCCCTATGCCTCCAATGAAAGTGTGCCAATTAAATTTTCCAACTAAATTTTGTAGGGGCATATGAAAACAATACCATACATTCATCGATAAAAACACAATGCATGCATGTTTGATCTATGCATACAAACTTTCTTTTAAATATATTTCACATCAGCCCCTTATTCTAGAAAGTCATTAAGATGCAAACTCGTTTCTTTTGGCTGGATACGTTTGTACTGTCTATGGTTCCCAAGGTAATTCCTGACATCAGTAGAAATATGATATAAACATTAATCGAGTTTATACACAAAATGTTTGGATATTTCACACTATGTATCCCTTTTGTTGCTGCATGTACTTGTAGAACCAGTTCCCACCTGACAGTAATCAGTCAACATTCCAAGTTCTTAAGCTGAGGTATTAAATGACTCATCTTCCTTTGTTTAACTCAAATAATTTTTTTAACTCCAATGGACCACTTGACTTGAGAAAGCTAGTCGCATCCCAATCTTTGCAGCAAATCAGAATCTGGAAGGATTGCCCTTTTAAGGCCTCTTATATTATTGAGGTTGCTCGATGTATGCAATCAAAATATTGCTATACTGGTGCTGAGTCAACATGGCTAGCCTTTAAACTTCAAAGTGAAAAAGAAAAATTAAAAATAAAAATGGAATTTTCATCGTTTTGCAATTGTTACTCCATATATATATATGACATGCAGCACAGTCGATTCAGGCAAGTCCTGAATCTTTTGCTTAAGCTTTAAACCATGTAGTGTAATGGATGCGATATCGGTTTTATTTATATGGACATGCATGGTCTCAATGTGATATAGGCGTTAGGATCATAAGAAACTCTTCAGAGAATCATAAATTCATGTTCAGGTAACTAGCTTCACTGCTCTGATCATAGAATTACTCCTTACCCGCTGCAAGGTTGTTGAACAACATGCATACTTAAAACCATTCACGCAAGGTTATGATTAAATAAAACGTATGTAATATCAGTGGCAGAAGTAGATTCTATGGGGAATCCAACAAATAAAAGGCCATGGTTAAATATAAACCCAATTATATCCACGATACATCTGTCATTTACCATTGTACGATTCTAATTTAACTTGAGGTACAATGAAGAATTGGGAACTTATCGTAGATTTTACTATTATTATTATTATTATTATTATTATTATTATTATTATTATTATCGAAAGCAAGAGTTTAAAGATAGATGCATCTTTGGGCAAATTATGTTCTCAATATGCTTGTCACAGGACAAAACTGGGGAGACTTGGACTGCCTTCCTAGGGCATCCACACGGGAGGAGGAAAATACTCATGACAAAGGATCAGCTACTCAACATTTATTATCACATTACAAAAGACACTCGACAACATCATCATCACGGAATTGGATGAATTAGTTCACAACATATTTAAAGGATGTCAAATGTTGCTATCAATAATCGACAAGTACTTGTAATAATTTCCAGTGGCAATAGGAGTATTAAAAAAAAAAAAAATTGCAAAGAAGGCCAATCATCAAGAAACATACTAACCAAAAATGCATGTGTTATATGGACACAGAACTCCACAGCAATCCCGATCGACATTACAAGGTTTACCACAGAAACTGCATTGAGTTGAATATCCAAGAGTGCCATTACACCCTGTAAAGTCCATATTATAGAATAGTGATCACATGGAAACATTAACAACCTATATATTAACAAATGAGCTAAAATGAAGGGACGCGAAATTCATGGATAATAACTCTGGGTATCTTTATATTCAGTAGGCTAAAGTCGCCAACATGGTAAAGAAGTATAAAGAAGTACACCTCAACATCGAATACAAAGATTCTTTTGAATCATAGGTCAAGCACATTGAGTTGCCCTATGGAGCCTATGTAACACATAAAATAATGCATAAATGAAGTCTTCAATGATTTTCAAACTCGTTCCAGATGAAAACAATGAATCAATAAATTCAAGGTGAGATATAGAACTTTAGAAAGTAAACTCATATGACCAAAAAGATGTCCTACAGAGCATTCAAATTTCCAAATTATTCCAAATCTTTTAATTTTTCTTTGAAGTTAGCTTTCGTAAACGAATGCAATCTTGACAAAACTGTAGTGTTTCAAAGGACTCTACAATTTCATTATAAAAATCTGTACATTATCATCATTACAAATTGTGTGCAGTATGCAATAAGTTAGCGACCACCAAAGTAAAATATCTAGTCGCTCCTTCCCAAGTGAGAGAGTCCACTAGCTGATTTGCTTCCAGCCATATATGAATAAAGGATGAAGAAACTCCTTGTAGTCTATACAAAACTTTGGCAAGAATGTTGTTTGAGGTGCCAAGTGAAACTTGCTTGCAAGGAAGCCTATTGAATCATTGAATCGTATTTGTAATGTCACCTTCAATCTGCAGCAACCTCCAACCAGGATTGTATATCCTAATTGGCTAATCCATTGAGAAGCACCTATGGTGCAGCATTTGTAGCCTTGTAGAACAAGATCTTTATAGTCTCTAAATACATCCCCAAATCCAGCCGGTCCGGATTACTTAACGAACTCTCAACGAAGTTCAATTTCACAACAACCTGAGCTGGAGGATTCCAATTAGAAGGGTGAAACCTAGATCAAGGGGTTTTACTGTTAGCAACCATCTTCAAATTGGTCAAGAGGATCGACTATTAAAAGACACTAAAACACTACTATGCTGACTGATGACATTGGTTGATACCAATCAAGGCATTCACAATCAAACAGTGATCCTCAAGGATTCATCAATTGTGTTCCATCTGAAAGCCCCAAAGAATGGCTATAATGAACATGCACCACAGGAGGTTGCCTCTTCACCGAAGGGGCATATTAAACCAGGGCTAGAGAAAGCTTCCACAAAAACTGGGAGCGCCCATGGAACATCAAATGGTCCCAAGAAGTGAGCCAAGACCTGCCGAACAGGCTCGCAATGCAATGCAAGAACACATTGTTGACTGATTTAGTGACAGAACTACACAGTATGCATATATTTCATAACACGACCTCCCGATTCATGAGTTGGTCAATGCCAAGGACCTTGTCATGAATGGCAAGCCACCAAAAATCCCAGACTCTAGACAGGATAGCGACAGTCCATGGCATGCTAGCCACCAACCTGGGCACATGAAGGTCGATCAGCATTTTGTAGAAAGCCTTAACAGTAAAATCACCTGAGGATTGGGAGCCAAATCATGAAAGCTTCTCCATAATTCAGCATGAAAACCTCATTGAGTGGTGCCATGGCTCTTGAAGGGCGTCCGGGTCTTCACTACTTACGTTTCGCAGAAACGTTGGGCACCAGACCAATTCCCCAGTCAAATGCTCATAAAAGGAGATTATCGCCAGGTCAACAGCCAAAGAGAAAAGAGACAGAAAATGTATTAGTTATCTAGTTTCTCTTGTCCAAATGACCTTCCAAAATCAGACCTTATTCCACTTCTTTTCTTGATTGAAAATTTGAAATTAACCCCCGTCGGATCCACACCCTTCCATAAAACCTGAAACCCAAGAGTGTGAAAGTTGCTGCTCAGGGGCCCCGAGAAGGAATCTAATTGGTATTTGCTTCTAAGTACCTGCTTCCAAACATATTGCTGCATCTGGGTTTCAACAAGCCTCCACCGCCATTTGCACAAAATAGATATATTGGCCTCTCAACTTTCGGATTCCCAGACCCCCTGCTTTGACCAGTTGGCATACCTTATCCCACTTGACAAGATTTGTGATCCCCATTGGATGATTTCCAAAGACCAGTTTGATTTTTGCCGAACATCGGGTGGTAATTTGAAGAGAGACCGAGCATACACTGGAATATTGTTTAGTGCAGCCTTATTCAAAGTGATTCTGCCCCCAAGTGGGAGGTGTCTTCGCTTACAACTAGCAATCCTGCATTGCATCCTCTCAAGGACCCCATATCATTGCTCCTTTTAAGGGATATCAGCACATAAGAACAAGCAAGATGCTTTGATGGCAGACGATCAGTTTCACAACCAATGTGTGAGGCGAGCATGTTACTGCTCGTCTGCTCCTGAACTCCAATGTCTAGGAGCCTTGTTTTCTGAAAACTAACTCGAAGACCAGAAAGAACTTCAAAGACCAGTCATAAGCAATCAGATTGTGCAATGATCCGTTGGCAGAAAATCAATGTATCATCTACATATCACAGATGAGAGATACATAAACCTCTTCTGGCGCTAGGCATATTAGAGAGTATTCCTTGGGAGTAGACTTGCCCTTAGTTAATGCTTTCACAACTACAGAAAATAAAAAGGGAGACAAAGGAACCCCTTTCCTTAAGCCTCTTGAGCTAGGATGTTGAAATGTAGACTATGTAACCGGGGAAGTCAATACCGATTAAAATTTTCCTATCTTTTCTTTTATATTGTCACCCGAATCACTCACAAGTGTTCGAATACAATATATGAAACAAACAAATCCCAAGGACTATCACTTGCTTGCCATTAAAACGAAATTATATTCTTAACATAGATCTCAAAATTACATAAAAGATACAATTGAATCAAAAGAGCATGAACCAGGAAATTACCATGTATCTGGCCTCAGGTTACCCCCAAGGACTTAGCACACCCCACACCAGGTCTCCTCCACCAATATCGCAAGGGATCTAGGTTTAAGAACTTGTCTCACAACTTGAGAAGCCTAGGCAAAACCAACAGAGAGCATGACATGGGATAACCTAGACCAAAGCTCAACACATGAGCATATGGGCAAACTAAAAGGTAGGGTGTTGTGGCTTGGGCATGCCACATCTTTGGGTTTCTTACGCTTCCTAAACTCTAATTTAGAGAGAAAAATGGAGAGAGATTAGAGAGGGGTCGTGCCACCCCTTAAGCTCAGAGAGAGAGAGAGAGATTGAGATATCAAGTGTGTAAAGAATGTGCTCCCCATAGCTAGTTTATATAGAATAAAAGCTAGGGTTTCTAGGTTTAAGGTTTTTCCATCATTATAAGATATAATCTTGATCTTTGATCTTGGAGACCTGTGGGGTAAAGAGATCTCATCCATTCATTCTTTAGATCAACCATCATGAATAAAAGAATGAGGTGGAACCATTATCCCTCAATTTCCATAACTCTATTTCTATCAAATATTATGTTGAGAAAGTATTAAATCAATATCAATTAATTCTTACACTTTTCCTTTTTGAAATCAATTAAAATCTCTACACCACACTTTCCTAAAATTCTCAAATCAACATGTGGCTTAATTAGGATCAACCAATTTAGGAAAGAATAAGAGGTGGGACGCCCCACCCCATGGGTGGCCATGTGGGTCCCACACCCAACTAATTAGTGGGCCCAATAAAATCAAATGGGCCCCCAATATATTAAAATTAATTTTCAGATAATCAAATAAATTTTATATTGTTATTAAATAATTTATTTTTCTATCTGATTAAAATAAATCCAGAAATTGATTTTTCTCTATTTAAAAATCTATTTCAATAAAATAAAATACCCAGAGAGGTCCAAAAATTATTTTTAATTATCCAAAAATAATTAAAACATATTCAAAGATATTTGATGGGAATAGGATGCATAGAATTATGATTACAACAAATATACTAAGGACTTCATCCTTTCTAGAGATCGTATCTCACTGCACCTTCTCAAACTGGCCCAATAGTTTCAATGACCCACAACCTTTCACAGGGGTTCATAATTGGATTATCAAAGCCAGCCAATAAGTGAAGGAGATCCTAGTCTATGGATTACAAGTGCCTCCCTGAGGACAAGTTCAGGCCCCATTTCAGCATTATGCTGTATGGGTCCTTCCAACACAGTCAAGTGTTGCAGGAAATCATCTGTTCCGCACATATACATATTATACACCCTTATTCAAAAGGGCCGCTTCCCGGCTAGCTATCTAGTGTACATGCCGTGTGATGGTAATGATGAGGATTTAGGCCCTTATCCTATCCGACCATCCATCACACACAGGGGTCTCATCGAGTCCCCTGGCCAAACTATCCTGGGCACAACTCCGACCTCATCAAGTGATAACCCCACATCAAAACCCTCATCATTTGTGCTTACACAATGCCCAGGACTACAGGCTTTAGACATCACCTATGAGCCATAGCCATTCAAAGCTCAGATGAGTCATGGCACTGGCAATGCTTCATAGTCCAAAGGGGACCACACTCTCACTGGAGCCAACATTTCCCTATAATGTTTTTAGTACATGCTCTCATAGGGTCTTTAAATGACCACAAAACCCCAACAGATGTAGCCATGAGGAGCACCATTGATTAAAATAGAAAACTGCTCCAAAGAGATGACCAATCAAGTTTACATATCAAGCCCTTGGATTTGGACTTATGTCGGTGGCCAACGCATTCATGGCCACTTGAGCCTCCTCAAGGATTTGTCTACCTTGAAAAATCAGTGATTGCACTTAAAACCCCTTCCTCATCATCAAGAACTTTGCCTTTTCACCTTGATACCCATGATCGAATTGGATTTCCTCCTAAAGTTTCCAATGCAAGAAAAAATAAAGCAGTATTTAGGTCACCCAACTTGAGCCATTTGACTCAGTGTTGCTTATAGCAATACATCACTTCACGCTTTAGTATGTTCTGGTAGTTTGTCTCAGCCAAGGTGAGGCCTTGTAACTCAGCAGCTGCTAAGTTCCTATTTTCCTCCGTGATCTAACTCCACAACTTGTGAGAGTAACGCAGCTTTTATCCTCCAAAATGAACAAAAGACTCTTAGCTCTTGACCTTAACCTCAGGACTTGAGTAGCTGCAATTTTCTACCGAGCCTGAAATCCAGCCCAGCCTTGCACATGGAATGCTGGCCACCATTCATAGATTGGCTTTGGTAACTGCTTGTCCTCCATCCACATTAGATATAATGGACGCTTAAGTATCCAGCCAAATGGGCAGATGATAAGCAGTTGGTTGGCCCGAGGATATGAATGCTGGGTATTAGCGTTCCAGTCAAGAAAAGTCAAGATGCAATGTAGTCTCATAAGGATAGGGGAGGCAGAGTGGTCAGACCAGGCATACTTTGCTCCTTTCAGAGTAAAATCTCCATCCATTTTTTCCTTTGTAAACCTATCCATGCTCTTTCTAATTTGCCATCTTCTATTGTTCTCAGGGCCAACGAGGACATTAAATCACCTCCTAGACATCATGGGAGGCGGTGTCCGTCTGTTGTGACTTCCAACTCTGCGTAGGAGCCTTCTCTAAGGTTCAGCCTATTTAGTAATACTACAAAAATAACCATTGAAATCCATCAGAACTGTTTCTAAAGACAATAGATACTGAGTGGCTCTCTTTCTAAAATCCTCGATTGTAATCGTTCAGGGTTCCAAAGGACCAAAATCCCACCTGACATCCCTTTAGAGAAAAGGCGCACCATTTCCCAGGATCCCTTCCCCAAAGATTTCTAATGGCTATAGGACCCCTTCTTCAAACTCAGATTTGCATTTTTCATATAGAAATCTCTGATCAACTATAGAACAAGATCCATTTTGCATTATATCTAACGGATCCCTTGATTCAGACCGAAGAAGCAATGTCACTCGATCATTATCAAACTGACTGCACTAGGGCCCCATCTTCGTTTCAGAGATAGTTAGGACATCCAGTCTCAGTTCTTTGACAAGAAGTGTACAGAGCTGTTCTTCTTCTTATCTCCCAATTCTCTGATTTTCCAAGCTACTATCCTCGTTTTTCCCACCCAGTGGCAATAGTAGTGGTACATTGGGGCAGATCTATCACAATAGATGTTGAAGGTGAGGTTCTCGAGCTCTCGGCTACCTCTATTCTTTGCCTTTGCACCTTTTCCACCACTCTCTTACCCCTTTTTGGTGCATTTGCTTTGAAGGCTTCTGCGATACCTCGAGCCAACCATAACACGAAGATCATATTGACATTGCCTCTTGTGCTATCAATTCTATCTCCTCTGAGTTGACTAAGGAAGCCAAATGCCAAAATCATCTCCCCCATAGCGCCCGACATCATATTGGCATTGCCTCTTGCGCGGCTAGTTCTTTCTATCTCTTAAAGTCGAAAATCATCTCCCATATGGAAAAAGCCTTCAACAGCAATAAGGTATCTCTGATCTAATAGTGTACTGCAACTACATTCGTCAGGGGTCAGTCTTTCTTGCACAGTGAATGGGATCAGGATAATAAGTATTTCTGCCACCATATCAGGGTCGCGACTGAGTGGAAAGGCAAGGGTGCTGCAATGGCCTTTGGGCACCCAAAGAGTATGTTTGAAGTGCCCAATGCTCCAGGACAGAGGCATACCAAAATGGGAGTCACAACCATCCATCAATAACTCTGGAGGACCTGACCTTTGACAGTATCAGGTCATCCAAATTTGTGCACAGCAAACATCTCAAGAAGTCAAAGAATTGGGAGATGATTGTGATTTAGCATCCTCAATAAAGGGACCCTTGAGCTTCTCATAAATGGGAGCAGTCAACAAAGTGGGGCATTCCGCCGAGGTTGATGATTATAACTGTTCTCTGGATTCCGCTTTTTGATGCAAGAGTGAGGCCTAGTATTTTCAAGGGTGGGGGACAGACACTATCTGGTTGAGGGTTGTTAATGTGTCATGTCTCTCAGAGAGGCAGAAATTAACATGTTTATCTATGAAAATGCCAATGAACTCCATCTAATTGTCCAAACAAGTGCTGACAAGTCCATTTAAGAAGTACCCCATCTAGGAGTATCTAAAGATAAAGACACTCAGCAATTATAGTGTAACAAGACTTGAAACAGTTTTAATAATAAATGAAGAAGATTGAGGACGGACCATGCATTTTCCAGTTGTCACAATGATCACTACTCTTAATGAAAGAAGTATGTTTATTACGTCTGGCCAGTTCGCACTCGTAAAACAAAGAATACAATTTTGATTCACAAATCACAATAAATAAGTATGACAAGGGGTGTTGGGTATCTTCTAGTAAGTTTTAATAGTATGTAGAAGAACATAACCACACAAGCTGAACGAGTATACCCTTAACATGAACTGAACTAGGTTTAAGTGCTTTCTATAAAGGGGATCTTTAACAAGGCAGGGCTACATACTCCCAACTAAGGTTTTCCTTTGGTTTTCCTTTTGGGAAGTGTGCAACCTTTATGCCCCAGGTAAGTATTCCTATGATAATTCATAATACATATATTTTTTGAAGTGTGCTCCTTTGCGTTTCCCAGTTGCATGCTTTTACGAGGAATTTTTATGTCTTGAGTACTTTTGTGGGTTTACATGGGACATCCAGAAATTTCAAATGGGCATTTAGGTTTCCTCTCATCCCACTTTGATGTATAACATAACCATGAGATTCTTAAGAAATGAAAATGATCCTTAGTAAATATGAATATCACCCTATATATTGTTTAGCATGCTCCGAGGTGGCCAATATTTTCATTATGTGAGATTGTAGTATGGATCATCTAGTAGAAACAAAGAAATACAAGTTGGGCAAGAAAGCCTAGTGATTCTAGAGTTTATTGGTCCACACTGCCAGACCGGTTGTTTTCAAGGTCTTCATTGAAATAATGAACAATTTCATTTATTGTCTAATTTTTAGTGAGATTGCATATGCTGTAATTTAGTTGCAAGTTAACAATGGTCAGCCCCAACAGTTATGGGAAACCTATGGAAACTTAAAATAACCAAAACTAGCAATGGGTTGAGCTTATTGTAGTCTCTCAGACACCTGGAAAATGTGACGATACTCTGAAAAAATCACAAAAAACAGATCTCGTAAGATACCAAAGAGTTTTGGGGGATAAGAGAATTGTAGAATACTGAAGATTCTCATTGCGACTATCTAACGGTGTTTAGGTTATAAATTGACTTAGTTCTGGATAAGAGAGGTGAATATTTTAATCCATAGATCCTTAGTTCCAAGTAGTTTCACAGAACCATGGGCCTCATAGACTCCAAGACAGCCGGACCTCACATTGATAATCAGGGCATCATGACATGATTCATGTCCCTTTGCCCTGAAATGTTGATCAATGCATGAGGTTTCGAGTTTAGGGTGTGTTTCGTATCATCTGGACCTCACTTTTTACCCTTTTATATGAAAACTTGAGGCTGTTTTCATTAAAAGACCTCAGCAAATATGAAAATACAAACTTAAAAGAACAATTAGTACAATGTTTCTTATGGGGGGTAAGCATGGTGATAAAATTTGTACTGTAATAACGAAAGAAATTCCCAAGGAAAAATCTTACCATGATATCCAATACAATCATTGCAAGCACTGCTAGAATTATTACTGAAGTCCACAAACTGCATCAAATAATGGAAACCATGTAAGATATTCAATCATCTTAAAAAGAGACTATCATTCTTTTTTTTGGTTAAATGAGACAATGTTACTAAGATGACAAAAGTGCATCCTACATCATAACATCTTTTGACATTCCTTATCATTTAATGTCCTAGAAGTAAAAATAAGAAGGCAGAAACACAGAATCAGAAAGCAAGATGCAAACCTGCAAGTGATAACTAGGCATACAAGAAAAACGGCACCTGAAACATTACAAGCACAATTTTAGGATCACAAAGCTCAGAGGTCGACGCAAAACAAAATCATCTCACCTTGCAAATCAAAAGTAGATTCCCTTCACCGTATCTATAATGAACAATAAGCTTAAATGCAAATCAGAAGAAAGCTGCATTTAGATGAATATTCAATTTATAAAATGATGACACGTTATTATAATGGAATGTTCAACTCATCATCTGGGTGGAGTGTGATGTAAAGTTTTGATGAAATGAACAGAAAAACAGCTTCAGGGATCAAATGCACCTTGCACATCAAGACGTTAGTATAGTAGAATGGGACCTTCTGGAATTAAAAGTTGCAGTGATGATGGATATTTGACAACTTGGACTCAACCAGTGAAGCCATCGCATCAACTAATGACTCAACCATGGCATCTCTGACAGACATGAGAGACAGGGACACACTTCACACTCTTCACGATAATTGAGAGGAAGAATGAACATCAGTTCTCAGAGTCTTATGGCCCCTTTGCTTTATCTCTAGCAACATGGAGAGAGAGAGAGAAAGGGAGAGAGAGAGAGCCCTTCTCTGTCTTCACAATAGAGAAAGAGAGAGAATTGTAGATTGTGTAGATTTTGCCAGGGTTTTGAAGTCCTGGGCTTCGTCTTCCACTGCTCAACACACGTATAGAGAAAAATTTCATTGTAAACACAGATAAGCATAATGTTTACAATCTACCAGAAGGTATTTGCAACTTTTCGAACAACATCGTCAGCATTAGTTTCAAATCAAGGGTGATTTATATCAATTTGTTCCACATTAACGAAATTCCCATAGTTTGCCTAACTAATAGGAAAATAGATTATGTTACATCTTTTACTACATAATGCAACAAAATACTCATGCTTATCAAGCACATGAAACTAAAAGAAACACCACACCAAACAATGTGCTCTGAATGCTAAAAGCATGACATTTTTTATGGAAAATCAGTGATAGAGAAATCGTATAATCTGATCAATGTCTTAAAGGTCAAACATTGACTATTCTTAGCAAGTAAAATCAAATATTCATAGGCATGATACATATCGTATCATAAATACTAACCAAGAGCAAGGGCAAGGTTTATAAGGGCTGTCCGCCATATGTCCAAGTATTGTTCAAAGAAAATATAGAACACCGAATATGGGAAAATTTCGATCTGCATTACAAAAGATGGTAATCAGACTACAGTTGCAATTTCTTATAAGCGATAAAAAATGTTTCACATATAATATTAAGAGTTGATGCCAAGTAATCAACAAGACAGTAAAAAAGATAAAGTCAAATAGGAAACAACAAATGCAAAATCATCAATAAACACAAAATGTATTCACAATTATGAAATAATTCAATCAGATGTATTTGCAAGAATTATGACCCATACGACGAGAAAATGAAAGAAACCTACAAACATTCACCGAAAGATCAGATTGTTTTCCCTAATGCTCCTACAAGAACATATATCTAATCCCAATACAAGAAATACCTATGAATTGGTCAAAAAGCCCACCTCATGTCTCTAACATATGAGCAAAGATTTTCCACCTACAGAGCCCTTTACCATTCAGTCACTTGTTTCTTAGGAACAATTGGACCTCTATGGAAAGTGGTAGCTATTTCCCTTCACAATCTCTTCCCACCTTTCTGCTTATTCATTGGGGTATGGGACCCCCATGAATGTGGAGGGAGTCAGCTGAATATTTAAGTAATTTATAGAAATTTCTTTTGCATCTAATCTTGTCTTTATATTTTTTTGCTGAGAGCATTCCATCCTGCATCGATCCTCCCCTCTTTATAGCATAGACCCAGCTCTCACCTTTGATTCTGACTTGTTTGGAATTCACAACGTTTTCACTTGATGTTAATGAGCCAATGGCAATCCCCTCCCCTCCTATTCACACCCACAAGGGAAATGCTGAATACCACCTCAAATCACTATGATATCCCTCCAGTTCTCACTTCTTCAATCCTCTTAATTAGGTTAAAAATACTCAATATCAATCATTAAGTCAACTAGCTAACTTGGAATTTCCAAATATTTATTTTGGACAAGAAAAAGAGAGAATATTTAAGTTTGGAAAAATAGATTTAAGTTAATCAGCCATAACAACTCAAATCAAAATGAAAAAAAAAGATGTAATGTATCTTATATTTATGCCCAAGTACCAACCTAGAGAAAGAAGCTATGTTTCTGTCTATGCATGTGTGTGTGCACAAGAAAATTAGATGCTGTTTAGTGACTCTGGTCCACCATGTACAAAAGAGTAAAATGCACAAGGGTTAATCTAGTGTACACCACTCTAACGGTGAACTTGAAATTTTTTACTGTCAATGTTTTACCATAAAATTCCTTATATGTTTGAAAAAGACTTTCACTAGAAATAGTCCATGTATTTTTGGAAGGATACTTTTGTCATTCAACTCCCTCCAAAAGTCAAGTTCAAATTTGAAAAGATTGCTTGGCTTTTTTAATCATCTTGGAATTTTAAAAGTGCAATAGTAGAAGAAATGCTACGATTGCGAGAGAAGAGAGAGAAAGTAATACTCAAGCACAAAATAAAGGAAATATATAATAGATCTTTTTCACTCTATACAAATCAAGGGGCAATGTGCCCCATATATACACATAGATCCCTATGAGAGTTACACTATAGGTTGTTTGACATGCATAGGAGTTACAGCTATGCATAACTATTACAACAAGAAATCACCAAAATGCGGGAATTGTTAGAGCAGGAAAATCACCCAAATATGATACTTGTTACTACAGGAAATCATCCAAATATAGGAGTTACAGCTATGCATAACTATCCCAACAAGAAATCACCCATACATAGGAATTGTTACAGCTGGAAAATCACCTAAATATGATAGTTGTTACAGTAGGAAATCATCCAAGTATGCTAGAATGTTATACACATTATCCCCACATGTAGGTTTCCCTAATGGGCATGAGGCCCATGTAGGTTTCCTTAATGGGTGTGGCGCCAATAACAATCACTAAACTCCCCCTCTAGTTGGAGCATATATATCATAGATGCCCAGCATGCCCAAAGTATCCTTTAGTCGAACTCGATAAGAGGGGCCTTGGTAAGTATGTCCACCAATTGATTCTTTGAGTGAACAAATGGAATAGATACTATCTATAAAGTGACATTTTCTCGGACGAAACAACAACCGACCTCAATATGCTTGGTTTTCTCATGAAATACAAGATTCAAGGCCATATAAATTGCCACTTCATTATCACAATGCAAAGTAGAAGCTAACGATTGGCACCCATCTCTTGAAGAAGAGAAGGGAGCAAAATTATTTCACATGTAGCACTTGCCATTACAAAAACTCGGCTTTTATTGAAGATCAAGCTACAACACTCTCCTTCTTACTCTTACAAGTGACAAAACTACCACCCACTATCATAAAGTAGCCATTGGTGTATCATTGATCAAGAGAACACCCAGCCTAATCCACATCACAGAAACCCTGTACATCAAAGTGACCATGACTGGTATAAAGTAGCCATCTCCCTGGAGTAGATTTTAAATATCACAAAATGGGTTAAACGACCTCCAAGTGATAAGAGTATGGTGCATGCATAAATTGACTTTGCCACGGTCAAAGATGTGCAATGTCTAGCCATGTGACAATCAAAAAAATAAGTCCACCCACTAATCTTTGATATACACCAAGGTTACTTACAGGCTTTGACTATTGATCATGTAATTTGTGATTAACCTATATGGAAGATTCCATTGGTTTGGCTCCAAGCATTTGTGTGTCATTGAGGAGATCAATAGTCTACTTCCTTTGAGATAAAATAATTCCCTGTTTAGACCTAGCCACCTTTATTCCAATGAAGTATTTCAATGGATCATGATCCTTGATGTCTAAACAACCCTGGTGAGCACTATATCATCCGGATACACTATTACTATTGTGGTAGAACATGAATCTCTTCTACTAAATACAAAATGATCAGAAACACCTCTCTGAAATCCGAACTGACATATTGCCATACTGAATATTTCAAATCTAGCTTGAGGTGACTATTTCTGTTCACGTATAGCTTTCCTAAACTTGCAGACCTTCCCTTTCTCCCCCTGAGGCTAAAACCCGATGCCATGTACACTTCCACTTGCAGATCTCCATGAACAATGGCATTCTTCGCATCTAATTGGTGAAGTGGCCATTTCCTGTTTATTACAAGAGATAAATGTACCTATACTAAATTCAATTTTGCTATAGGAGAAAAAGTCTCCATATATTCAACCCCATATAACTAATACAAAACCCTCGGCCACCAAACGAGCTTTTGTATCTCTCAATCGAACCAATTAGTTTGTGCTTCAAGGACTACATCCACTTGCATCCTACTGCATGTTGTCCATCTTTCCGATCAATTACATTTTAAGGGTGCTTCTCCAAGGCCGTAATTTCCTCAATCACAGCTACTTTCCATTGTGGATAAGCCAATGCATCCACAACTTTGGTGGGAATAGGAAAAGAGGAAGTAGAGCAAAGGTATGCGCGAAAGGAAGGTGAAATTGAAGCATAAGAAATAAACTTATCAATTAGAAGAGAAGTACAAGTATTGTCTTCTCTTCTTATAGCAACGGGTAAATTAAGCTGAGAAGGTATAGGGGTAGAAGCATAGTTGTTGGAAACGCTTGGGAACCCGAATCGTTTTAGGTACCGGAATCACGAAATTGCGACCAGATCGAAGTTTCCTATCTTAGGAATCGTTGTCCGTACAATAGGAATCGCAAAGAACGAGATTTCTAGTTTTTGAGAATCGTGTTTTGACTTCAATAGATCCAAGTTTCATCCACATATGGAATCAAGATTCCATCCTCCTTGGAATCGAGATTCCCATTCCCCTGGAATCGACACTCCAGGAGTCAAGATTCCTTAATATGCGGAATCGAGTTTTCGACACCTATGGAATCGAGTTTCTGACATATGTGGAACAGAGACAAGTTGATATTTCGAGTCGTGATTCTAACATATTTGGAATCAAGTTTCTGAAGTACATGGATCAGAGATCCATACCAGTTTGGGATCGAGATTTACAATGATATGGACTATGGAATGCATTTGATGACCCCTACCATGAATCGAGATTTCATTTTTATGGAGAAAGAAGCGACAACACATCTTGAGCCTCATCAACTTTAGAACCTATATTGGATGTTGACTATTGAACTTATGGTCATTATATACAAAAGACAAGTATTTCTAAATTGTGATTTTGAGTTCATTAATATAAAGACAAAATAGTATTATGTCTACGCCATGGTTTTACTTTTAATTGTATGTGTTCTATTTACCAGTTACATTTTAAATTTAAAGTAAAGGTGATCCAGGGTGGCACAAGTAAAATAATGAAATCCTGCAACCTCTAGAAGCATTCGAAGGAAGATTTCTACTCCAAATGACGTGGAATCAAGATTTAATCCTTGTTGGAATCCAGATTCGATATATTTGGGAATGTCTATCCACAATTAATGGGTTCAAGTTTCTAAAGATGTGTTGTATCGAGATTCCGAAATTAAAGAATCAAGTTTCTTTGTTTTTGATAAATGGTTTCTAAAGATGTGCTGAATCAAGATTTTGAAATTAAGGAATCGTGTTTTCTTGGTTCCAAAAAATGGTATCCAAAGATGTCTCGAATCGAGATTCCGAAATAAAAGAATCGAGTTTCCTTGGTTCCAAAGAACGGTTTCCGTAGAGATTCCTCAAAGGAAACGCGGAATCGGATTTCGGAACCAGAAACGCGAGGTCGGAGGAGAGATTCCGGTAACTATGGGTAGAAGGAGAAGAAGTACCTGACGAGTCAACAAGTTGGGGTTGATCGTTTACATCGGACTTTCCCTTGTTCTTTTTTCAGGTGTTCACATTCAGTTGTTTCTCAATAGATTCCACATATTTCTTGGTTGGATTATTCTAACTATAATAAACCGAAGAGGAATAGGATTGTCTGCTGGCATAGTGGATATTGAATCTTTTTGGGAGGAAAGACAAGAAACATTTTCAAAGAAAGTAACATCCTTTTGAGACATACTTCCTTTTAGTTTTCGGACGGTAGCACTTGTATCATTTATGAGGATTCTATTATCCTAGGAACACACATCAAGTAGCTTGAGGTCCTAATTTATTCCTAGCTGGCCCCAGGGTCTGCAGTATGCATAAAGCAGACACAACCAAAGCTTTTTGATGGAAGAGAAGACAGAGGATTGCATGGTGGAGAAGTTTCAAAGGATAAGCACTATTAAGAACAAGTCTAAGCATTCTATCGATTGTATAGGTAGCAGTAAAAATTGCTTGATCCCAATGAACCGTCATTCCTACAAAGATGCCTCTCACCATTTCTAACAAGTGTCATGGTTTTTTGTTCTGCCAAACCATGATGTCTAAGTTTTCATACCGTGCTCAAGAGAAAATTTTTATTTGGGTCTCAAACTGGGTTTGAACCATTTTATGAAATATTTTAACTAATGGTGCTTCATCTCTACTTTTCATCAGATAAGTACAAGTATAACAAGAGTGATGATCGATGAATGAGATTAAATACTGATATGCAAAAATACAAATAACTGGAGTAGGCCCCCAAACATCATAATGAACAAGATGGAATGGCTTAGAACTTTCAATTTCACTAGAAGAAAAGGTGGTAATGTTTAGACAACTGGCAGGTCTCACATTCTAACTGACAAACATTCAAAGAAACAAAGTCATCTGGAAACAATAAATTTTTCAAGGATTTTAGAGATGTGACTTAAGCGGGTGTACCACAAGAGTACTTGCTCATGACTTCCAGACTTAGACTTGAAAGCAGTAGAAATGCATCTTGCATTGAACAGTTATAGTCCATTGTCGTCACGGCCACCACCAATCATATTCCTCATTTTTAGGTCATGAAAAACACAATGTGAGGGATAGAATGTGATACTCCAATGTAGTTGTCTTGTCATGCTACTATCGGTGAAGATTAAAAGGAAAAGAATGCAAATGTATTACAGAGGGAAGGACAAGGATGATGAAAGTTTTATGTTCCACTTCCAAAGGCACTGGTCATGGATCCATCAGCAGTTTAACTTCATTAGAAGTAAGGAGAAAAGGTCAAGAACCAATCATATGATCAATGATCCTGGATATAGAAGAGGTGGAGTTGGAGGCACTATTCGCAGTTGCAAATATACCTAGCTGCTCTACCAGTGTATTAGAGCTAAGTGACGCCTTGAGAGCGGTCAACCGGTGCGGTAAATATTTAATGGTCTGATCTCTTCAATCGGATAGATTGGGTTGTGTGGCTGAGGTTTCCTCCCCCTCACTCAATACAGTATGGGCACGTGCATTCCTTGGTTTCGGACTTAAGTGTTATTGCAAGTCCCAACAGTGCTCTCGGGTGTTTCTCCTCTTCCCACAGTGGGAGCATTTGAGTTTTCCCTTTATGATGGGAGAAACTAGGAAACGATTGGGTCCCCCCATACCTACTTTTCCTTGCTTAAAGATTTTTGCAAAGGCTGATCATATGGATGCTTGAGTTTTGTCCCTCTGAAATAGCCTTTATACTGGCCTCCCCACTTGTGCAATTATAGAATCATTTCAAGCATCAGCAATTTGTCTTTTCGTAGAACGTATAGTCTCTGAAGTTCAAAGTTAATATGTAGGCTTGCTAAGAACAAAAAGATTCTTCATTGCTTGGCCTGTTTTTTAACGTCATCAACAGTAGGATTAATAGGCCGATAGTGGTCTAGTTCTCCACTTATGCCTTAGCATCCCAAAGTACTCTTCCACAATCATTTCCCCTTGATGCAAATTCACTATCTCGCGATGCATTTGGTAAATCCTAGCCACATCATCTTGTTGCGAGTATGTCTTGGCTAGTACCTCCCATACATCCTTTGTAGTCTTAAGAAAAAACATTCCCCTGCTGATACTTGGCTGCATGGAATGTAGAAGTCATGCCATTAATGTCAAGTTCTTTCTTTCCCATTCATTATGGGATGGATCATTTGTAGGAGACTCTTTCATTTTTCTTGTAATATAAACCAATTTTCTATGGCTTCCTATGAACATTTTGGCATATTGGCATCATTCTAAATAGTTTTTTCCTATTTAACTTAATAGTAGTGATCATCAATCCTGGGTGGTTAGATTGATTGCTTCCTAAAGAAATATTGTGCTAGATTTCTGACATTTTTCTTCTCTCTCGAACTCAAAACCCCAATTTTTTTCAAGGTACTAATTCCTTAATTTCAAAGTTTGCAAAGATCCTCTTTTTCTAGTTTGTTTGGGCAAGAAAGGTATGGAACATATTAATGTGCTTTTTGTGTGACGTGCAAAAACAGTCTAGGGTTCTATGCTGGAAATGGAAATATTTTAGAATAAATCTTACTTATTGATTAAAGAAAAGCAAGATGATTTTGTTGGAAATATGAGGTTGCTGGAAATGAAAAGAGTTTGGAATAAAAACTTAACTTATAGGTAAAGGAAAGCAAGATAATCTTGCTAGAAATATGGGGTTGCTGAACCATAGCTTCAGGCCCAAAAGCAAAAAAATCATGATCTTACGGTTGCTACATGTACTTGATACCTAGGGTTTCAAACCATGCTCTGATACCATGTTAAGATTGAGAGAGCAGAGAGAGAGTAATATTCAAGCACAAGATAAAGCACATATAGATGCCTTTTTCACTCTATAAAAATCATGGGGCAATGTGCCCTATTTATACACATAGATCCTAAGCGAGTTACAATATAAGTAGGTCAAAATGCATAGGAGATACAACCCTTATGCATAACTGTAACACCAGGAAATCACTCAAATATAATAACTATTATAGCAGGAAAATCACCCAAATAAGATAACTGTTACATTAGGAAAATCACCCAAATATATTAGAATATTATACACATTGTTACCACATGTAGGTCTCCATAATAGGTATGACAACCATGCAGATTTCTTTAGTGGGTGTAGGGCACTACACAAAGCAATTTAAAATTGAAAATATGCACTTTTTTAAAATTTTCAAACAAGTTATTGCTAATGTAATTTTCAGATCTGTAACGACATTTTGTGGTCAAAAAGTTTTGGAGTAGGAAATTCAAAGTTCACCTTTACAGTGGTGTAGCCTAGAATAACCCAGTACATAATAGATCAAAAAGATATTTTCAAGGTAGACAGGGTGCATGTATGATGGACAGAGGAGAGGAGGATAGAGAATTTGGAGTGATTGTGTGTGGTGAGGGGTGTTTGTGTGTGTGTGTGTGTGTGTGTACTTTGTAGAAAGAGAGAGAGAGACAAACAGAGAGAGAGAGACAGAGAGGATGGTCTTCCATTTTTTATACCAATTTCTACCTTAGACAGAGATGGAGAGGATGGTCTTCCATTTTTTTATACCCATTTATACCTCAGAAACATAGAGAGAACCAACTCAAATTTCCCCTTGAGTGAAAGAAAGCAGCCCATCCTTAAATTTGATATAGAGAGAAAGAAACCCGCCCAAAAATTTGGAGAGAGGGACTTAGCCAAAACCCCCAGGAGAGAGAGAGCAGTTGCACTAAGGAGAGAGAAGTTTTAACCCCTTGTAAGTTTTCCCTCTCAAACTCCATCTTTAGCCTCAAGAAGTCCTCTCACTACTCACCACCCATTCTAGATCTTCATTTCCATTCTAGTGTCATGCCAGCTTTCATCTACCACAAATCTTCTCTGATGCTGGCTCTAATAGGTTTTCAGAGGATCCTGCTGGAAAACTAACACCTAACTCCGCAATTCCCTAATATCCCTTAAAGGAGTTCCAAATCCCACTACAGTTCCCACAAAGCTTTAGGAAAATAACGCTCCAAAAAATAATCATTCCTCTAATACTTCTTCTTGAAAGAGGATGCCCATTACTTGAGTAGATTTAATCAAGTCAGACAATATGGTAGCACAGTTCACAGCTAACGATCATATTAGGCAATTTTGGCAATTAGCTTGTGTGATAACATCCATAAATGTCATACTTAATAGAAGGATGGCAACAAATAAAAAATATGGTATTGCTTAATGATGCCATTTCAAATTACCTTTAAAGACTTGGAAACTCTAGAACTGAACTCCCGTGCAGCCCGCATCGAATTCACATAGTCTATCTGTTGTATAATGCATGACATATAGATGAATGTTGGACATCTAATTGAATCTTGACTAACATTTTGGGATAAAATGTCAATTACTCAATTAATACCGAAACTTACTTGTTTATTTACAGGTGTATGATATGTACGGAATTCAGAAGCATGGACGATACCATTCTCATAACCTGATAAACCAAAAGTAACAAATAAAAAAAAGATGAGCTTATGATGTAAAAATAAACAAACAGACAAAGGGCACATAATCTTCAGAAATAACAAAACCTGCAAAATAAGGAAAGGAAATCTCTCTCAAAGTTTGGCATAACAAACTGACCTTTGAGGTCCACACTATTGGCGTAAGCCCCGTGGCCACCTTTAGCACAATCAGCAGAGGGCAATGCATTCAAAAACCACGGAAGCTTATCCATGAACTGTTTTGTTGATGGACGGCCATTGATCAAGTCCAAGCTATGAAAGCACTATGGGTGCCCATGGAAAAGTTAGTATTCGAAAAGGCATATCTAAATCAGAGGAGCAACTTTCACGAGCTATATCATGTTGATGCAAAGCAACAACTAACATGTTGCTGTCATAGACATTAAAATCAAATTCCTCATAGCTTTGTACATACAAATAGTAATATATGCATGGCAGGAGAAATACCGTGGTGCAATCTTTGCATATCTTACTGATGCCACAAGAATCTTCACCAGGCGGACAGCAAGGGGGCTGAAGAAAAGAAATTAAGATGTCAACTTCAAATATAGAATTTTCAATAGAAATAAATGATAATTAAAGGAGTTACATGTAAACAATTGCAATTAAAACTTGGTTCATTTCAGAGCTAGTAACCCATTGCATAAGGAGTGATAATTACTTGGCTTAAAGGATTTCCAAGAGCACTAAACGAGAAAGCAACTTAATTAAAATCATATCAACTGAGGATGTAGGAAATCCAATGTGATCCTTATACAATGAACCCCATTTTAAGTCCCAAGCAAACACTCCTGACTATTTTATACTAGAACACATAATCAATTGGATAGATGACAACCTAATAACTTCATAAGACTAGTGGGCAACTCCATGAAAGAATGCAAATACTGCCTGTGTAAAACTAAAGCAATACATGGAAAAGAAGGGATGAGAAATGCTACAACAATCTCAAGCTCCCTGCCGGAAATTGGTCTGGGTAAGTGCAAATTGATCTTTCGTAGAACAAGCTTGAGAAGCCTTTTGGTGTGAATCCAAACAGGGCCAATTCCCTAGCAAAAGAGAGGGTATCCACAATCTCCACCCTTGTTTCCCAAATCCGTTCCTAACCATGTCCACAGTTTTTTTTCATCCTTTTAAGGGCATATTGTACATGTTAATGAAATTTACCATGAACCATCACAAAGGCTTGAAGAGAAACCATAAAAATCTTTAAGAAGGTACAGGATGAGAAAGAAACAAAGAGTTTCAATTAGATTAGTAAGGGTTCCATATGACCCAAGGAAGATCAACAGAAGTATATGTACTACCCTTTATTCTCCAATGCATGGTCATCCGTGCTGCCCATTGTGACATAAAGGTTAGCTTGGCATTTGCTTTAAATTCAAGCACTTCCACATCCTCCCCTACATGGGCATGTGTGCTTCTCATGTGGTTTGCTATGTCACATGCTCACATCATAAATTACCTGGTCGACATGGTCAATTTTTGCTATTTACATTTGAGGTTCATACTTTAATTGAGAATAATCTCCCTTTTCTCTGTTACAACTTGTGCCTATGTTTGTTTGGAAAACTGCATACTTCCCTCCTCATGTCGTCTTGTTTGTCTGACAGATGAAGTAACTGTGTTTCTTTCTTTCTGCACTAGAGCCACCCATTAACATAGAAGAAGATTCTTTGCGAATGATTATTTGCTACGTCAAAGCCTTCCTCCTCTTCACTTCTTGACTGCTTCCCTTGACCTGTGGTGTCTGGCGACAAACCGACCCCAGGGATAGTATAATAGACTGTTCTTCGACTAGAGCTAACCTTGCATTCTCGCTTTAGCTCAATTCAATCTCTAGAACTCTGATTTATTGCTATTAGAATGTTTAGGGAAGGGGAAAAAATGATTCCAAAAGTTCTGAATATTTATTTATTTATTTTGTGTTGATCTTTTTTGTTTAAACGGATCCTTGCCGCATCAAGTCTGTAGGAATTATGAAATTAAAAGAGACATTATAGCCTAGAAAATCTAAGAAAGGGTCTTTGCCACATTTTTCACTATTTGAGGAGACATATGAGGGAAATTTTTCTTGGTATTGGATGTGTGTGGTGAGAAAATGAGTGTTTGCCCCTCTCTTTACTATTTTTGGAAACATGTGGTCTTTGCCACATTTTTCACTATTTGAGGAGACATATGAGGGAAGTTTTTCTTGGTTTTGGATGTGTGTGGTGAGAAAACGGGTGTTTGCCACTCTTTTTACTATTTTTGAAAACATGTACATGTATTATCTGTGAACTAAAAATAGGGTCCGTGGTGTCTTTCACTATATTTATCCAACCCCTTCTCTTTTTGTTTTGACCTAATGAGTGCTCCATACTGTTTCCTTTTTCCATGTCATTTCTTTATTTTCTCAAATATTGATTTATAAAAAGGAAATGCCCTAGGAACATTCCTCCCTCACACAAAAATAAAGAAAAAAGAAAAAGAACAAAGATAAACTGCACCATCCTTCCATACTCATTTTCAAAAGTTCTTTGCGTTAGGGCAGTACTTTTTGTTTTAGGTAGTATGTTGCAAGTCTTTTCTGAGCTTTCCTGATTTATATAGAAAGGGTTTAGGTTTTGTTAAGTGCTGTTTTTCATGAGATGTCACCATTGGTGTCATTTTCTCTTCTCTTCTACATAGTAATGGTTCTTAAGACTGCTTAAATGAGGATACCTGTGTCATTTTCATAATCTATCATTTGCTCCAACGGCCGGTTTTAATGGACCGAGTAGGTGCATATAGCTCTAGAATTATTACCAAATGAAGCAAAACATGTATGTTTTGTTGATAAGTGAGGTTTGAAGTGGACTTAGGCATATGTGTGGCACCACAACGTGATCTTTTGAGTTTCATTCCTACCATGGGTAAGGCACCCCTTCCCCACTGAATTACTTCCAAACCGCCCCCCCCCTCTAGGGCCATAGGAAAATGTGTTGCTAAGTAGTTCTTGCACTAGTGTGTTAGAAAAATACCATCGGTGATGTTTAATGGTCCATTCAAATTTGCCATAAATCTTATTGGAAATGGTCATTCTCTAGCCTCGTTGAGAAGTTGATTGGCTGTAAATTGATTTCTAGAATTAAGCACAAATTAGAGTGGATTTCTAAGTGCTACAAGGCTCTAGTTGTTGCCTATGGATATAAGAGATTCATATGCTTGTGATGATCTTCATTAGTCTGTTATGAACATGACAAAGGGTAGTATGTGCTTACTCAAGGCAAACCCTCAATGTTCAAACAAGCTTTTACATGTCTAAGATTGTCAGAAAATTATAAGATTTCTCTCTTCAGGTACATCATTCTTATTCGTACTATTTTGTGACTTCCCTAATAGGTACATTGCAGCAATAAACTTTCTATCTTGTTTTCTCTTTATGCCATTTCTTTCAAATTTTTGGCAAATTTTTGCCTTCATCAACATTATGAGCTGATCACATGAACAACATCAGACCAATGAACAGGCATCCTATCAATTTGATGATCCTTTAGCAACTGACAACAATAAATATCCTGATCCATTCTATCCAATCAGGAAAATTTACATGCCACTAAAAACTAAAGTAACCAAAGTAGGACAAGACATTCTTACAGTGTCTTAATAGTAAGTTCTATAAATTATAAAGTAATGTCATCGTCATCATCATCAACATCATCATGATATTATCATCATTTGAGTCTTATCCCAACTATTTGGGTCCAGCTTATATTATATGTGGAAAATTTTTGCCTCGGATGTTTGAGACTATTGCTTAACTAGGAACCATGGAACATACATTTCAAAATATAACCACAATGAAAATTAAATAACAATCATTTGTGGTTTAACCTGATCATCAGGAGGGCAATAGGTCCCATTTGTAAACTTGCGACAGCACCCAAAGGCCTCAGGAGAAATCCACACCAAGAAATCATCAAGCCATGATGCAGCAGGTTTAGCAATATAGCTAGATCCTGGAATCAATGATGCCCTAGCGATCTACAAAAAAGAAAAAGACATTTGTCATGAAAGCTGACAATTTATCCACTCAGTAATGTAATCAGAATGGACTTCAAGTTAGAATAACTAAAAACATTAAAATGAAACAAAATCATTCCTTAGCAGTTAATTGATAAATTCATATGTTTTACAGAAATTCATACTTCAGATATAAAGCAACTTCTAAGATTAACATTCAACCTGTGGTTTTGGAAGCAAATAACTATATATCTCCCATCTATCAAAAGATTGTCAAACTATTTCAGCATGCAAGCTGGATATACATGAAACAAAAATGGTGGAGATTTCTCAAATACATCAACTTACTGGATATATCCGGCTCATATTAATTGAAGGAAACAGAAGGCCAGTAATGGATAGTATCAAATTCTAAAGGCTCTTGGCCATCTTTGCCTGAGGGATTAAAAGGGTTTTCAGATTGGATGAAGCAAAATCAGAATTTGGGTGGTAAAACTTCCTCATTTCTTGACTTAAGGAGCAGAGGGCATAAAAGACTTAGTCCTGTAAAGCATGGTTTGGTGCCCTAAAAAGCATGCCCCATAAGCATTGTGGGGAGACTGGATGGTGCAATGGACTGTCAATAAGGTGATTGCAGTCTGTCTATTGCCCAGGCCAATTTTCTGAGAGGCCATCAACATTTAGAAAAATCCTGTAATGCAGCAAGTCTATGACTCCATACACCAAGTACATTACTAGATATTGTGTGCAATGGACTGGAATTTTCTATAATTATGTGTATCCAAAGCTACATTTTACACAATGAAGAGGATGGTCTCTGGGGGATATAAAACATGGCTTGAAGTGACATAATTAACACTCAAAACAGAAAAAATTAAAAATTAAAAAAGGTTTGAAGTGAGCGAAACAGAAACCATCCAGAGCTAATAAGAAGGGTTGAAAAGGATGGGTAACAACCTCATGTATAAGGGCTTCTGGTAATGAATGCAACCTCACAATCCAAGAAGAAAAGACAGAAGACATCTACAGCTGTGTCATGGCAGATGTTTTGGTCAAGGAGGTTTTGGACGATGTGGTTCTTAACGATACTTAATAATTACACAATGGAAATTACAAAGTAAACTTAAAGGGTCAGGAGATATGAACAAAATACCCATTGTTATGAAGGAGGTTCCCAATGCAAAGAAAGTGGAAATCAATGACACAATGGCTCCCTTAAAATGATTGTGGAGCATAGGGATGGTGGACTAGGGCACTCAATGATGGAGTTAATTTATATTAAGCTTGGAAAATACAGCAGAGTGAGTGGTGGAGGCAAGAAAGTACATTGGGCAAGGAGCAAGCATTGTATGTTTTGTTATGCCTTCCCCAACTTTGAATAGCTCCTTCTCTGATCTTCCATGAAGCTGAAATACAAGGATGGCCCGTTTCTGTGCATTTGCATGTCGACTACGATGTACCTAGAACAAAAGCTATAAGAAATACTAAAGTGGAAACTACAGAGACTAAGACACTGAATTAACCTAATCATGCAGAAAGCTCGTCTACTTCACATCTCATCCTCATAAAGAACTGGAAGGTGTAACAGAGTTCACGAAGATGGACCCAGATGGGATTCGCAATTCACTGGATAAAGTGGCTAAGTTTGAGAGAGGAATCTTTGTCTCTCAAAAGGAAGTATGTGATAGATCTTCTTAACGAAACGAGAAATCTAGGGACTAAACCTGTTTGTACCATATGAAGCAAAACCACAAGCTTGACAACCAAAGGGGTGAAGCTCTGAAAGACGTGGGTATGTTACAAAGATTACCAAGTAGATCGATATATCTCACTTACACATCCAGACATCACATATGTTGTAAAGCATATTTAGTCAGTTCATGCATGCTCCACAAACTATTCATCTTGAGGCTGCTGATAGAGTCATTAGATACCTTAAAGCAACACTAGTTACAGGGCAGGTATTTATTAATCATGGGCACTTGCGAATTGAAGCGTATACAGAGATAGATTGGGCTGGTTCTATTGTTGATTGGAGATTTACATCAAGCTACTCTAATCTAGTCGAAGGTAATCGTGTAACTTGGAGGAGTTAGCAGAAGCAGAGTACAAATCCATGGATCATGGTGCATGTGAATTACTTTGGCTAAAAATTCTCTTAGGAGAATTTGGCTTTCTGTGAATTCAATGTCCTTGTATTGTGATAACAAGACAGCCATCAATATGATACACAACCTAGTCCAGCATGATTGAACCATGCACATAGAGATAGATTGTTTTTTCCCTAGAGAAAGACTTACAACCAAAGAAATAGGCTTTCCAGATGGTAAAAGATCAAGTACATTTTCTTTCCAAAGCTGCTGGGAAACCTCGATTGCAAGTAATCTTAAGCAAATTGGGCATTTATTGATATCTATGCACCAGTTTGAGGGGGAGAGTTGTAAATGTCCAGTCCAGCATGATTGAACCATGCACATAGAGGTAAATTGTTTTTTCCTTAGAGAAAGAGTTGCAACCAAAGAAATGGGCCTTTTTTTTTTTGGGTAAATCAAAGAAATAGGCCTTCCATATGGTAAAAGATCGAGTACATATTCTTTTCAAAGCTGTTGGGAAACCTCGTTTGCAAGTGATCTTAAGCAAGTTCGGTATTTATTGATATCTATGCACCAGTTTGAGGGGGAGAGTTGTAAATGTTAAAGTCTATCGCTATTCCTTTAGTATTTAAGTGTTTAAGATCTTATTCGTCCTATACTTAAGGGCATTTTTATGTTTTTCTTATAATTATCATTATAAACAAGAATAAGAACAGTATGTGGGTTAAGTAACTCCAATGGCATAGCCCCTTCTCTCTTTTCTCCTCAACACCACTCTCTTTCTCACTTTATCTCCCTAACCCTTCTATCTCCAAATCCCCTCTTCTCTAGACTGTAGCCTTCTTTTTCCTTGTTTCCACACTTTTAACTCTAGGCACCCCTTGGCGACCTTAATATCCATCCAGGCAGAAGCCTCAATAACCTAGCTGTCATAGTGCGTACAATCTTTTGAACTCATGGCAACCGAGGGAACCTAGGCAACAAGGACTCCCTGGCTGACTAGCAAACAATCCTCCAAACCATACGGATGGGTTCTATAATTCTATATCACAAATTCCACAACAGACAAGACCCACTTCATGGCATAGTGCACGATCCTTTCCTCTGACTCCCCAAGTTAATGAAACTGAGACTCTATATTATGGGGACGCATTAAAAAGTACCATGGACTGGCATCTGAAAGGAATATTGGACAGTTAATTGGATCTCATGGGGGCACCAAAAAATCCTGCATATGCACCACAGCACAATAATATGGTAAGATAATTTAGCCAGCTTACAATACAAGACCAAATACTTCGGCCCTTTAGCATAACTATACTATATTATTCTCTCCACAAGGTCATTTCACAGCTATACTCTTATTGTTTTGAACCAAGACGCATCCATAAAAATGTTATTATACACTATAGATAAAATGGCAGATTAATAGTACAGAAAATGCAACTAATGTCGAAAAAATTAGTACTCCAATCAACACCATAAAAAGCAATTGCATCATCGAGTACAGCCATGGAAAACTTGGTCTACATTTTATGCAAATACTTCGCCATTAACACTGATGAAATTTTACAGGAGACATTCATTTAATTGATTCTGCATGAAATCTTTAAATGAAAGAAAGCATTGTCTTTGTAACCCAAGAGCAAGCAACAGTTTAACAGATTACAGCCATATTATGAACAATATTTTAATATCCGCAAGAGTAACTCAATCAAGGCAAGGTTACCGTAACCTGTCCACCTTCCCAATAGTATGTTCATCAATGAAAACTATGGAGATAATATTTAATGAAGAGCTGGTAAAGTTACCTCATTTAGTAAGGAATTGGAATCACAATGACTAATGGAGCACAATTTGTTTGTGTGTCTTGATTCCAGACTAAAACAGCCAAGCAAGTAAAAAAGTGAAAATCAATTCTATTGAACAACAATTCAATAACTATGCAACATTTTAGAATCAAAAAGATTAAGAACCTTTATTCCTCATCCTAAGCTGTAAAGAAGATAGACTTCCCCTATGAGGAAGAAACAAGAAACTAAGCAGTTTAATACGCACTTACTGTCTTTACAAATAAAAAAGAATGAATGGTGCTTAATCGACAGGTTTTAGTGAATTGGCTTTCATACTTAGAAATTAAATAGTCAACACAAATAAGCTAACCCAAAAATTGCAAACAAGAGCAACAAGCCGCAAGTTTAAGAAATCCAACTCATCATAAATAGCTAATATGGACATCTAGATAACATTAATCCTCACAAGCAAAGACAAATAGATAACCATCGTAAATGCATGAGGAACACACACAAAAAGGTTATTTGTTTACTTTTAACGAAGTATGCCAAATTTTTAACAATTCAAAACAACCACATAAGCAAACAACCATTTTATGATACATCAGTTTTCTCTTATAGATGCTATGTACACTAATAAGTCGTGGTTCCCACCCGAAAACTTACATATTGTGAACTTTGTGGCGACAATGTATGATTAGCCAGACAATGTGCACATGTATGAAAATTTTGATATATCCTCATCATCGTCCAAGCCTCATCCCAATGATTTGGGGTCGGCTCTCATGATAAGATGTGGCAAAGTTTTACGCTGGCTGCCTACCTAATGCAACCCACCTCCTTTACCCGAGCCTAGAATGAGTTAAGGGAAAGTTTAAAGTCCTCCCCTTTATTAGACCAAAAATTTCATACATATTGAACCCAATTGTTCTTGGCTCTTTCTTGAAACAGCTGACTTGTTATAGAAAATAAAGCCAATAAACTCTCAGATTCAGTCTAGGGCTTAACTGGTTAATGTGTTGAGCATTGCAAATGCTATGTGCCAAGTTTGAATCCTACCACTAAGCTAAGAAAAATAAAAAGAAACGGAAAAAAAGAAAGAAAAAAAAGGCTAACGAACTCTACATTAACAAAATAAAAAATCCTCTATTTGTATCCCAATACCTTGTGGTAAGAGAAACTTTACTTTAAAAAATCTATATGTTCTAATTGTAACTTGGACTAATAAGATAACAAAACAGTAATCTGCAACATGTATGACTGTTGAACAGGTATATGACAATGTAAAAGAGAGTATCAGATGTCCCAATACCTTGTAGTAAGAGAAACTTTACTTAAAAAAGCCTATATGTTCTAATTGTAACTTGGACTAATTAGATAACAAAACAGTAATCTGTACAATGCATGACTGCTTAACAGGTATATGAAAATGTAAAAGAGAGTATGAGATGTCCCAATACCTTGAGTAAGAGAAACTTTACATAAAAAAGCCTATATGTTCTAATTGTAACTTGGACAAATAAGATAACAAAACAGTAATCTGCACAATGTATGACTGCTGAACAGGTATATGAAAATGTAAAAGAAAGTATGAGATGATATAAAAAACAAATTTTTCCAATATAAGGATTGAGAGCTGTAATAACATCAAGATAGAAGAGTGATACTATGATTAAAAGATCATGGTTAAGTACCTGTAATTGAAGTCCTTCACAACAAAATATAATGGTGGTCCAACTTGAAGGTATGCTGAGATATTATTGAAATATCCCTGCACAATATATAGTTCATCCAGATAGTATACATTATTAACCAAGGAGAGGTTCGAATATTAACACATTTTGCTAAATTGAAATGCTAATTAACAGTAATGAATGCTGCCTGTAATTCTGCAGCAATCCAACCTGAAGATATGAATCACGTGGGAGTACTATCTGTTGCTCCAAACCAGGCTGAATCCTTGTAGATAGTGCCTACAAATGTTTACAAGGAATAGATCAGTCAGACACCAATAGAATTCCCGTCAATGTTTTAATATTTAATATGACAAACATGTCAGAGACAAAGCCCTGATAACCCAGTGAGAATATCCTAGCAAGCATAAAAAGACACAAGGCATCATGGAAACATTTACAAAGGATATTAATGCCAGCCACATGGAAAAAGCAGTAAATGAATGTGTATCTCAACTAGAAGAGGAAACAGAGATTAACAAGAGCAATATAGGAAACTCTAGCAAACTGCTATGTATGTTTAAAGTAAGACTTTGAGATTAGCTCATCGATCTGTTGAAGAAGGCACGTCAGTCACATTAATATTTCTTAAGGTTACTTTGAAATGTAGCAGTGATGCACAACATTAATCTAGTTAATGGTGTTGAGCAGTTTAGTCACAGAAAAGAGAAACTTTGGAGCTTCTGCGAATTAGGGAAAAGATTTCACGTATCCATTAAAAATAAAAAATTAAAGAAAAATGCAAAAAAATAAAAAAGTACTTTCAGCCGAAGAAGTTGGATAAACAGCAAAATATCTGAAGGTTCTTCACTTTGCTTCGGTGAAAAGGCCAAAACTGGAGTCTTCAGTTGCTTAGCAGGAGCACAGGAAAGATGGCATTTACGGATATTTGAGAAAATCAAATTATCTATAAGCATGACCTTCTACAACCCCATGCTAAAAACTGAAAAAACAACTCAAGTAAAATAATAGAAAAAGGGCCACATGTACACCGATGTTTCATGGTTTATCCCCCAAAGGGAGGAAATATCTAAAGCATGCAGATCAACCTTTAGTGGGGCAAGCTATTAGAACCAACTGTGCAGTAAGGTTGAACTACAGTAAAACCTCCCAAAATGAACACCTTTGCTGGAGACCCTTGTATCAGTTTTGAGAAACTCTAACAAATGCTGATGCCTAGTAAAATTTTAAGTTACATATAACTCAAATTGGGATGTACTCAAATTGGGATGTGATATGCAATAAAAAAGATAGAATACGGGCATTTTGGTCATATAGCATTTGGCTTCTAATTAAGTTCAGTAACCTAACAAATCATATTAAAATATATGAAATAAATTCTGGTTACCACTCTTGAAACAATTACCAGAGCTTACATGACACTTTAATAAATCTTCACTAATACAGTAGAAACAGCAATAACAAACTAATAAATGAATTCTCCAGCAGTACTATTTAAATATGCTATCTAATGTGTGATAAGGACCCTACTATGGCCAGGTGGACACACGATCACGAGAACTAAAACTATCCATTTTGCAACAACACAATGAAAAAGTATTTGGTTGTTATCACAAAGGAACTCAAGGGATTGCAATTTTCCCCATATCTTTGGCTCCTTACTATCTAGGCCCATGTTTTTCCTAAATAGAAAAAGGTGGGAATGTGAAAAATACAACCTGACCATAATTTAGAGTCTATGAGCCAGGTGCCATGGTGCAGATAGCAAAAACTATTACAGTCGCAACGACCATGAAAAGAACAATAAGGTAATACAGCAATACTTGTACTTTCTATCATGTTACAATTGCACCATCCACTGCATGTGATAAATGCCAATTTTGGCTACGTACACAATTCAGCAACAAAGCAGAATGACAAAGCGTCACAATAAAAGAATCCTATATCAGATGTCAGAACTACTATAGAAATACATCAGAAACTATGTTTTGGCTCTCTGCACCCATGAATCAGATATTCGCATCCAAAATTTGGGTGGCAATATAACAGCTAAAATTTTCAGCATATACAAGAGGGCAGAAAGTAAAAAAATAGGTGCAAATATCATTCCCCTAAAATCAACAATGTAATGAACTTCAAAGGAAAATAATTAGTTGAATGTAGTTTAGTCAAGTAATATGAACTTTCCATCCACAATCGTCACGAATTGAATTATAATCAAATTGCTTTGAGTCGGTTACCAATATCTGTAGTTGGAGATTACACAATTCAAACAATTATGAATTCGAATCAAACAAAAATAGCTATGGAATTTTCAGCATATATAAGAGGGCAGAAAGTAAAAACATAGGTGCAAATATCATTCCCCTAAAATCAACAATGCAATGAACTTCAAAGGAAAATAATTAGTTGGATGTAGTTCAGTCAAGAATGACTTACAATGCTAACAAAAGCAAAACCAACAAAGATAGCAACAACTCCAATTTTCACTCCCAAATGACTGAGAACAGGTGCATGAATTTCCTGCAAGTTGACAGGAGAACATTAAACATAAGAATATTTGTTGAAATACTGAAAGATTCAAAATAAAAAACAAACAAATATTTTTGCACATTTGACCTGTACCCACAAATACGTGTACAGAAATAAGTGCACAGAACAAAGGAAAAGTAGAATAGCAATGATAATCAATCAAAGCCAAGGTCTATGCTACTTGATTTCCAAGGTAACTACCAAAGTTAATGAAACATAATTTCCAAGACAACCCATGAAATTAATTTCCAAGATAATGGCAAAGATAATTTCCAAGGTAGAACTTATGTAGAAATTAATTTCCAAGATAATGGCAAAGATAATTTCCAAGGTAGAACTTAGGTAGAAATTAATTTCCAGGATAATTTCCAAGGTAGAACTTAGGTAGAAATTAATTTCCAGGATAATTTCCAAGAACCCTTCAAGTGTTAAAACTCATTCCACTTAATGTTATTTTCCCCACCCCCCATGGGAGCAACAGAAGTTACAGAACCAATAACCAGACATACTTAAAATTATGACACTCTAAACTGTAATCCATAGGCATCTATCATGAATGCTTTTAATAATGGATTGCATGATAAGCAACTTTTTACATGTCCAATATGAACAAATTTGATTTCTAAAATGATCTTGCTATTAAAAGAAGTTATAAATAACTACTTCAGAGTGACTATCATGGTATGCCATGTTCAAGATTATGCAGACTTCAAATCTAATTTGAAACCAACACTGATAAGATTAGAGAATACTTGACTCCATCATCAACTAACTACATACTCTATCTGTTTATATTGACAATATAAAATAAGTCGTTCCACATTCCGTACCTAAAGAATGACATTGTAAATATGGGTAAAATTGTACGGATGAACTTAATTTATTTCTTGACTGACTATTCATAGAAAAAGTCAGTTAACTATTTGAGAGAACAAATTGTGCTTTATGCAAATTTACAAAATAACTGGCACAGCCTTTGAACATAATGATCACAGTGGAATCATTATTCAAGATAGTTATTCTGATTTTTAGGTACCTACCCTAGTTCCAAACAAGGAGTTTTCTAGTACCCTAAAAGAACTTCAATAGGAAACTCAAACTGTGGTATAAGACTAAAGGGAAAGTACTGCCAACTGTTATTAATCATTTTCTGTCCTATCATAGATCAACAGTGTTGCACTTAGTCTGAAACAAAATAAACTTGCCGAAATGGAACACACATATAATGGACATAGTTCAAGGTAAATTTAGCTCTCATCTACCAAGAAGTAACCCTAGCATTTAAAAAGCTCACCAGATTGCAACCAAATCATATACCATTTTATTGTTTCAAGAGTTTCCTTTAGAAGAAAGTCATTTTCACATAAATAGAGCAACCTTACAAACCAGGTTCAGGCTAGAGGCAGGAGTATCTGAGTAGTATTGAGGTAGAAAGTTTCAATATGATCTGCTAAGACCACCCTGCAACTATTACTTATTAAGAGTAAAAAGCCACCCTGAGACAAGGATTGGCTTAAAGGACACGATTAAAGACATTCAAATCATTGATTGCTAACCACACTCAAGGTGTAAAATATTGTTAAATGGTATGTAGGGTAACAAGTGTTATTTTAATTCTGAAGTCTGAACAATCAGCCACAACTCCATACCCCTGAAACAACTGACCTCACCAGATCCCAACTCAATCCCACTGCATCGGATTTAACATTATAATTTGTACATGCCTGACCACAAATTGTGCATATACCTATCAATAAAACTACAAGTGCCAAATAATTCATTAGTCATGTATATGCATTGCGAATTTGTAATCACTGATGTAATCATCCAGAAGGTGTTTCAGGCACTGATCACAGGTGCAATTTATACGAGTTAAGCTTATGTTAATAATTTCATCTTCTCTAAGTATGGCATCTTGGTAACACAGCTTCTTTAACGGTTTTTTTTTTTTTTTTTTTTTTTCTGCCCTTTGTTTTTGCTTAGCTATTCCGCATAATATGGCACATCAGAACAATTGGGTCAGAAAAGGTCTGTTTTATATTTTTGCATTACAAAGTAGAGTTTGGGTAGAGTTCCATGCAACTATCATGGTCATGATCATAGTCATAAGTGAATACAATATGATAGCTCTTTAGTACTCTGTAAAATTCAATCCAACCGCCGAAATGTAGATACAAAAGGAATGCCTTAAAGTCCAATGGGACAAGACACCCAATCTCGACATTTAGGTTTCAGGTTAATGCTTACCCACCAGGGGAAAAAGGCGAATGCACAAAGCACAACAAACAAAATACTCAAAGAGTGCCAAGGATTAGTTATTCGTAAAAAGTTAAAAAAAGACAAATAACGATCCTCGTGAGGTCCACATCCTATTGGAAAAACTTAAAGTCCCTTAATCACTTTGAGAAGGAAATGAAGTCAATGCCTATCTAACCTCTAGGTTGTAGATTAATGCTTACCCACGAGGGGTACAGCAAATTGCACAAAGTATCAAATGACGATCCTAGCATCCTCTTGAAATGAAATGAATTGAAAAGATTAAAAACATTCCCACAAGGAAATAAACATCAAACTGTACCTTCATGTAGCGTACCAGCAGCCCAGGTCCTCTCTGAGTATTGTCTATGTTTTCCAAAGAGAAAACAGTACTTAATGAGCAACAAGCAAAAAAAAAATCAACTAGAATGTTAATCAAATACGTAAAGCATCTTTGTTATGAATGTGCACTTGATTAATGAAACAGCCATAAACACCTTTCTGAGATTCTGAAGTTGACACTTTTATACACGGGAAGCAATCAATTCTGCGGTCCTCAGCTCTTGAGAAATCAAAAACTATCAATGCAACAAAAGCTGTAACTTGCAAAAGAAAGTCCAAAAGGACAGCCAATGCTGCAAACATAAAGCCATTATCAGTCATAAAGAGATAAAACTCAATCCTACTAGGCTGATTATCCAAGCTGAAAATTCACATGAAATATTGCAACCTGCAAACATCGAAAACACTCGACATGCTGGCATAGGGATGAAGCTACCAACAGCAAATGCAACAACCTCAGAGAGACTAGCAAGCGTAATAGATGGACCCACTTCAACAAGAGCATTACTAACACGCTCATCCAAAGGTAACTCCATTGATTGGCGTTTCACAGCATGTACTAAGATACACATGTTATCCACTCCAACCTGATTAGTAAATGAATAGATATCAATTTTATCAATAAGAGAAAGTACGCAAGTCTGATGAGAGAGTTACAAGAACACTACAAATATAAATGTAAAAGGAAGCATGTTTCTCCATGTGTTTCTTTGTGTTTATGCACACATATGTTTGTGAGCACATAAATATGTATATGCCTATGAGCGCAGATATGTTTGTGTGCACATAAATATAAATATACATGTGGATAATTAAGCGTGGGGGCACAGACGAAACAATCAGCAATGAAAAGATCTCCACTAAATATCTGAGAAATAATGACAAATTTTAAATTTCCACGATTTCATGTATAGTTGATTTTAAATTTCCATAACTAATCGTGCCTTGTAGCTGATTTAATATCTACTTTCCTTACACACTCTTGTACAAACACCAATTATAAATACAATCCCATGTCACCTTTCAAATAGAAAAGTGAAAAGGACAGTCCCCGCCTTCACTAAAACTCAAGATCCTAATAGACCCCTGGGCCCATGTAAACCCCAGGGACCCGTCGCCATTTTCACACTAAAATGTCTAGGAGATGTGCTAGAAGGACGACCATTTTCTCCCCTGAAGGTCGACTTTAGCAAGTCAAACATGCCATGGAAGCATTGAAAATGAAGGTGCAGCACTTGGGATTCAATCAAAAGATGATGTTGTGTTAGTAGGAGAGAGAGTCACCTCCAGACTCCTTTAAATCAACAAAAATAAATAAAATTGTACAAAATCGATGACCACCTTGCCTGTACAGTGGCTGGAAGATTTCTAATACCAATATTTTGATAAAAACAACTTACATTCAAGCCCAACAATCTTATCAAGAGCCAATGCCAGTCGAGCCACTAATTCACTGGGAAAGTTGTTTCTAAAGTTCGGGGTCACCCAAACCTCTACTGAGGCCTAGTTTCTTGACAACTTGGGGAGGTTTATTTATATATTCCTTTTTTGACAAGTAAAAAAATTGAAGAAGATAGCACCATTGTGTGGGCATGTATCTGCTTTGTTAAGGTTCATTCGACCACCCATGTTAAGCCCATGTTACTTCATTGAAAACTAAGAAGCATCTGTTGATAACACTACACGAGAGATAGATAGATAGATAGAACACTATATATATAAAGAGAGAGAACTAGTTTGGGAGAGTTGCAGAGTGAGGAAGAGGTAGATAGAGAGAGAAGAGGCTAACATAGTGGGAAGGGGGGGGGGAGAGCGAGAGAGAGAGAGAGCTGTCAGTAGGCTAGAGAGAGGCAACTGTGGGAAGGGTATAGAGAGAGAATCCGTGGGAAAGGGTGAATATCCATCTTGGATGAATTTATCATTTACAAGGAGAAAATCGATAAAATAGTAAAAAGAACAATGAAAAAGGTAGCTAGGGGGTGTCAATCCTATTTTTCAAATTACAAGGGGGGCCCATGGGGTGTACATGGACCTGAGGGTTTATGTGGACTCTAAATTTTAGATACCAAAAGAATAAGAACGGGATATCGGTTTATGTGGACTCTAAATTTTAGATCCCAAACGAATAAGAATGGGATACCCAAGGCTATACATCTTGAAAAAAAAAATTTGTTATAACTAGCAATTGCTTTAGGGTATCTGTCCATCACACATGGACGGAATCCCACGATCATGTCTCTAGCAATCACATACTGTTTATCACTCGCAATAAACAGGGCTCATTTTTTATACAGGGCATATACTTCTTGCAAACTTACATTTGTTTAATGAAGTAAAACTAACAATTTAAAAAACAAATTACATCGAAATTTCAAATTTTCTCCTATATAAACTTCCTTGTTTAAATTTAGGATAAACGAAGTTTCAAACAGAAAACGCAATTATTAGTTTAATAGAGCCGACCCCGAAGGCTAAAATGATGATGATTAATACAAAGATGGATAACAACTTAAGAAGTTCATACCCTAAAAATACTGGCATAAATAAATATTACTTTATGGGAAAACCTAATATTTTAACTTCTCATAAATTATTAAAAAATATTTGGGATAAGGCTTGGATGCTGATGATGATAAATTATTAATAAATATTTTCCATAATCTGCAAATATGAAGTCCTTATAATACTTATATTCTCTACATTTACTTTGAAAGTTGAAATACTGGAAATCTCATAATCTAGGAAATTCTCCTGAACCAAAATGCATAAAAGAAATTCCTTTTTTTACATAAGCATTAATGGAGAGCTAGAAATCCTACATGATAAATACAAAATTATTTCAGGAATAGTGAAATTTTCAATTATTTCAACTTCGAATGATTTATTTAAGATACTCAATTAAAAAATCAAAAAAAATAGGATCTGACAAACTATTTCTATATTTGGTTTCACTTGAAAATGAGAAAACAAAGAAAATCTAAAGAGTGAGAAAGTTCTATTCCTAATCCTATGAATTAATATCTCCTTGAAACACAATTGCTTTAAGGTAGAAGTTCCATTGCATAGGATTCATTGATAGAAGTTGGAATTTACACCAATGTTTTAAACTAAAACAAAGAAAATAAAGGGCTTTTATTGGCCTATGATGATACCTAGGTGCTGTCTAAGGAAAAAGAAAAACTATATAAAGTAGACAATCTTCCCACCTCATTCTCTTGAGCTCAAAATTTTCCACATTTTCCTCAACAGGGATGAACTCCTGTTCCTTCGATAGGTTGGTAGATCTCATACACATTTTTCATCAATGGATTCATTTACAATGAAAATAAATAAATAAAATCACCAACCAAGGAAACTTGGCATTGATGGACTAGTTTCCTTATACTAAAAATTTCTGCAAATCACACTTACTGTTTGTAAAGACCTGAAGGCTACACCCGAAGAAAATCCAGAAGAAGAAATAACCAAGATCAAGCAGAGAACTCAAGGGCAATATGAAGTGGATAAAATGGCTTACCGCTAGAACAAGAAAAGGAATAACTTCCATAATGATGAGAGTCGATTTTACTCCAATGGCACTGAAAAAACCAACAGAGCCGAGGACAGAAAGCATGACCAGGACAACTCCTGATAAACCAAGCAATACCTACAGACCAGGTTGTCAACATAGTTAATATGACATAATAAAAAAACAATAGAAAAGGTTAATATATCTTGTAAGAAAACCGCAGAAGGCTCCAGATTCCAGAAAACGGAGAAAACCGACATTTAACCATTACATTAATGAATTACTATCAAGGTTGAAGAAATATTCGAGTTAATTCAGCTTAATGACTTCAAATGAATCTAGTAGCCTTGGTTTCAAAAATCTTACAATAAAACTTGCTTTAAATACTGTCAAGCATTAAAATCTAAACATTGAAACCTTTTTTTTTTTTTTGAGAATATGTCAACATCGGAACATTGCTACCAGCCTAACAATATATGGAAAGAAGAAATAAGCAAACTAATCTGGAAAGCTTAATTATTTCAGAAACATCAATGAAATTTCTTAATCCACTTTGGAGAACATTGCTATCAATTTAACAATATACTGACAGGAGAATGAAGCAAACTAATCTGGAAAGCTTAATTGCATCAGAAATAGAAAGAAATAAAACTGCCATGTCCACAGACAAGAAATGAGCAGATATGAATTGAGTACAGGTTGCATAGTCTCACCTTGGACGAAATATAGAAAGAAGAGAAGTGGGGTGCATCGCCCAAAGTTACTGATATGTAAGCAAACATCACGAGATAGCTTATCTGGTCAACAGTAGAAAACAATTATATTAGGATTCCTTAAACATATGAAGCTCAAATATATCAAGCTTTAGCGAAAGCAATTGTAAGTGGCCATTAGTGCTTGCATTATTGCATATAAATTTATACAGAGGAGCTCATTAATGAACTAGAAAGCAATGAAACAGTAACAACAAAACTACATCAAATACTCACTAATATTGTCAATACGTCTGCAGTACTTTCTCGTTCCAATTCCTTTTGGATAGAACTCTCAGATGAAAATGAAAGAGTAAGGTTTCGTGATTGAGCCATAGGTCTAAGCTCTTCCTGTTGAATACATTGGATAATGTTCAAACTTAGTCTCATCAATAAGAATATGAACGGAAGCAAGTCATCAAGGGAAAGAGGATAACTGAATCAAGAATATAGGGCAAAACACACACACACATTTGATTTACAAACAGTAAACTGCATGTCACAGCAACCATAATTGTCAATGCAAATGGCTGAGATGACCATTCCTCTGCTCAATGAGACAGAGAAACTGTCATCTCAACCATCTGTCATCTCAACCATCTGTCATCAACAACAGATGTTTGCTGTAGCATGGAGCATACAATTTGCAATATGCACACACCACTGCATAAAATAAGCCTGGGCATGACCGCTCCTTGCATCCCTCCCACCAAAACAGTAACACACATCTTGATGATATTGTTGTTCTCCATAGCACTTCATTTTAGGCAAATGTCATCATTCCTCATCAAAGCTCAGATGACCATTCCTACACCCAGTGTACACCTTTGTGGAGAAATGCCATCTCAACCATCAGCTGCCAACAACAGATGGTTGCTCTGACATGCAGTTTACAGTTTGTAAAACTAAATATATCCCAATATACCACCCTGTGTTCCCCCCCTGTGTTCCCTCCCCCCAAAAAAAAAACCCAAAAAAACACAACAACAAAAAAAAGAAAAAAAATGCATACACACGTACGAACACACACCCACACGCAGGCACATGCGCGCATGACATCTTATGATTTTATTGTTCTCCCTAGCACTTCATCTTCTTTAAATTTTAATAGTTCTTCGTCAAAGCTCCCGCTTCCTTTTATTCTTCTTTTTTCTATAGAAAGCTTAGCATGCATCTCTTTACAATGGGTTACTTTCTTATGCCATTGCCTTCACCATGGACCCAAGAACCCAAACTCCATAACAGAAGGTCCATGTGATGAATACCATTTGACGAATTTCAAAATTTAATAGAATAATGAGCATTTAATTATCCAAGCATAGCACCTCAATAGAGCCAAGTATACACAACCAAGATGAGCATGTAAATATTATACAACTCAATTTGCTAATTTAAGAATGTAATGGCCATTACTGATTCAAATTGTGGGAGTAAAATGGACATATGCCATACTATTTGCATGACCAACCAGCACCTCATATATTCCGTTTACACAAGACTAGGAACTCATAACACAAAGAATTGAATACAAACCTTCGCTACATTAATGAAAGCCTTTTCCCATGCAACAGCTTCCCAATTTTCTTTTCCAGTCTCATCAACTGCATTCCTTACTGGATAAGTTATGACAAAAGCTGTAGCCTGCCAAAAACGAAGCGTAACAAGAACTCGTAAGAAAAATCAGCCCCCAAAAAAAAACATTCAGCCAAGTATGAAAAAAATTTCAGCAAAGCATCCTGTTCAAAATGATCAAATCAACTTGATAAAATTTACAAACAGCACCTGAGAAAAGTTGCTCCCCGAGAAGCCCCCTAATGCAACACTAGGATCCACAGGAGCTTGGAATGCACTCAAACATGTTTCTGCAGATGTATAATGCTGAACAGGAACATCCAACAGATGTAAAAGCAAACATTATTCAAACAGATAAGAATTTGACACAAGATATTAACAAAAGTCAAAAGTCATCACAAAGTTTTCTTAGGTCTAGTAACTATGACTTGCAAAAGCATATCAAGATCATAGAATTTCAAACTTGTTATCCCCAAGAATAGTCCAATACTTCGATGTAACTAGGTATTAAAGAATACCGTGCCTAGATATATGACATTTGCAAATGTTAGGGTAAGTTAAGCGCCTATGTCTTCAGGAAGAAAGAACCAATTCTTTAAGATGTCAAAATGTCACATTGACCGAGAAATTTACTGCCTGATGTCAAAGACAATAATTTGTATCAGTACAGGAATACATGGAATTCTGATCCTCAATGTAATCACAGAATAATGATACTTCAGATAAAATTACTCAATTCCACTGCACATAGAAAGAAATCTCCAGTGAATGTGTTCTTGTTTAATGAATTTCCACAGGTCAGGGAATGATTAAGTGTGGGTTTTCACTAAACAGATAATCTTTAACTGTTGTGCAAAGCAGTTAACAGGTTAGCTAAGAAATAGCTGTATGAAACACAAAGCTGCGACTTTAATCACAGGCCAGGGACAGTCTAGGCCAGTCAACCCTGAATGCTTTGTTAGAGATGATGAGTTGGTTCCTTGCGTTATGCGGAGCCAGTTACATTTCCTGACGCGATGGCTATGGGATAAAGGGCATTTCTAGAGGGCTCCATATTGTGGACGCCCACTTTGAGCCAAAAGACGCTGACCAATTTCCACAAAGCTCAAATACTTATCCTTTGTGTCAAGGCAGTCTCCTTCCACCAAACAATGAATGGTATGTTATCTTTCTCAACTACAAACTGTGTCAATTGAGCCTTTCATTTCTGCTTTGCTTGGATCTAAATGGTAGACACTTTTGCACAAAACCACAGCAGAATAGGATTTGATGCGTTCGGAAAATTCCCAAAGATTGTAAGCGGGTTGACTAATAGAAATGCAAAAATATGAAATAACTTTTCTTTTCAATAACTGGTGATAACAAATCATTCTTCTCTCTTTTTTTTGAGTAAGTTGACTTTGTATTAATAGGTATAAAAGTACAAGTAAAGAGTAGATACATACACAGGAAGGGCCAGGAAATGGGTGCAGCCCCATAGGGTACAAAAATTGCTTTACAGCAATGGCAAGAAAAGAGAGAGTTGGAGGCAAGCTTAAAACATTCTTGCAGCCCCCAAAGAGATGTTGAGATTGGCTCCTGCTCTGGCAAGCGCGTCAGCAGCATGATTGGCTTCTCTATGGATATGACTCCAAGAGATCGTAGAAGAGCTGCAAATATGGGCTATCTCCGCAAAACTTGGTCAAATGTCCATGGGCAAGGGGTTAAACCAGAAGTCCTTGTGATAGTATTACTGAAGCCTCCCTCAACTAGCAGGTGAGTACTCCAATCCATGCAAATTTACAAAGTCCTTCAAGAAGTACAGTAGCCTCCTGAGGGGCCTGGGTTGCCGAGCAAACAACCATCAAAGTTTAATTTTATAACCTCAAAATCAGGCAGCTTCCAAAGAGGCCCATGGAATCCTAGGAACACGGAGATTTAGCAAGGTCTCCCAATTGCGGAAAATGTCAATGAAGTTGAAAAGTTTTTGGTTGAGGGCCCCAGAAGGTAACAAGGAATCATCTCTTCTCCAGTAGGATCCAAATTATTCATTTTAGTTCTGATTCACTGTAGTTTGCAACATTTTCATCTAAGCACCTTGTGAATCTCAATTAGCCTTCTTCATATGAATCCAATCACTCAACATAAAAGAGATAAAGGAAACAATTCAACCAGACCAGAATCTAAGGTATGCTCAACAACAAAAGTAGTAAGAAGTAAAATGTTTGCATACTAAATACGGTATTTAGGTAGAAGCAATTTGGAGTAAAAAACAGATTCAAAAAATTTACCTGAAAGCAATATTCAACATGTTGAACCCCACCATAGCTCTCATAGTTGTCTGGATCCATTTTAAAATACTGAAAAAAAAAAGAAGCAGTGCAGTTAATTGCTCTAACCATGTAGCCCAAAAAAATGAAGAAAGGGGAGTAGATGCGTCTAAAACATGTTGCACAAGATAAAAGACCAAACCGTGTAAAAGAAAACATAATATAGCCAGTGAAAATATAACATTGCCAAAAGATATCTCTGATGTCCAGTGTCCCAAGCAAGAGAATAATGCACCAATTCCACTTTGTCACATACATTCATGATGAACTTTCATTTTCCAGATAAGGATATCCAAATAAGCTGAGTAAGTGTCTTGTTGGATTTGTGACAAATTGTATCAAGAAAGCCCATTAGATATTATGAATACGCATATGAAAACAGAAGCAACACTTCATCATGCAATATGCGGCATTACCAAAGCCTAGACGGCAACAAAACGACAGTCATAATACTGTGGGTTTGCTCAGAATCACAGGAACATTAAAAAACAAGTACAAGCATGGTTAAAACAAAACTTTCACCAAATGACCCATTCAATTTCTGGGAGAAAGGATGTGTGTGCAGTACCACACCTCTGCAGGCATCAGTACTAAGGCTCTATAATGACTCGATCAGGTGAATTGTCCACATGCTTATTCAAGCTAAATTTGCCCCTATCTTACAACAGCAACCAACTCATCTCTTTGCAAGTTTCCTCAAGTTCATTTTCCAGCACTTTTTCAACCTACCAAATGGTTTATTTGATCATTAAGAATCTGTTCCTCTTTCAAATTTTTATTGTTCCTGTAGGCAATTATTATCCTAAAAAAATGAAATTCCTTCCTACCAATGCAGTTCTATAAATTGGAGATATACTAAGACAAACAGGTGCAGAAGTACTCTGCTTCAAATTTGACCAGTTGATGCCTAGTTAAGTGAAACATAAAAGTACCTAACAAATGCAAAAAATTAGGATGTTTACAAAATAATATAAATAAGAAAAAGAGTATGATTTAGGCCCAAAATATCAGGGAAATATGAAATAAAATAGAAAACATGACACAAGTGCATGCACAACCTATACATTATTAATATGTATCTTAAGGCCATCTTAGTTATTTCTAAATACTAGGGAATGCCACATAAGTGAGTAACTAAAACTTAATAAGTATTGAGCCAAAAATAAATCCAACATCACTAATTAAAGGATTTGCACTATGTACTTGGAAGCCTTCGGACTCCAGTGAGAGCATTCTTATCAAAAGGTAGTACTTAAAATCAGGATCCATTTTACCTGCAGAACACTTTGAGTGGCACAATCTGCACCAAGTGGCTTCATGCAAATGTCTGTAAGAGATATCAGAGATCCAGAATAATTTGCACGGATTCCATCAACCTCAAAGCATAAAGAAGAATATATTAGACTTACCTAACTCAGCCTATGCCAGAGAATGGCAGCAATTTCAAAAATAGAAGTTGCCTATGAACCACACAATATGCCAGAAACTGGCAACACAATCATAGAGCCTAGATCAAAAAGTGTGTGTACCACAAATGTTATATACCATGGAAAATACCAATGACCAAGCATACCTTCTTCTGTATTTCAAAAAGTAACTGAATGTTTTCCTCAGTCACAATACTGGGCGTGTTTCCCTGCCCCAGGTCTGGCACAGTTGCAAGTATAAGCTGCAAATAGAGCATCAACACAACATCAATGCATAATTTTCCATTGAAAAAATAACCCCAAAAAATTGAAAAAAAAAAAAACCACACCTATGAGAAAAAAGAAATAAATGAACATCAAGAATATCAACAAATCAACCAAATGGAATGTCAATGGAGAAAACTTCTAGATGAAACTGAGACCAAATCATATAACATGGTACCACTACTTCTATACTGATAAAAAAGGAACATGTAAATAGAAATTTTTTCAAGAGAATGCAAGAGACAAAAGAGCAAGAAAGCTCAACATGCATACTTGCATTGTTCCCCAATCGTTGAAACTAATTTCAAAGGAGGGTAACAGGCCACTTATCCATCATTTGAAAGCCAGAGTGCACCAATAAAAGATAGCACACTTCCATAATGAAACCCATAAAACGCAACATGATAGGCATGCCATGCACTAGATTGTGTAGAAAGTGGTGTCGACTGGGGAGCTGCTCATAGGAAGTGCATATTAGTACCTTAAGTTTAATGTACACACAGTTTTGGTGAAGTAAAACGAGAGCCACCCAACAAAGACAGGCATGTCAGCCACATTTCAGCATATCCGAGTCCAACACTCAAGACGATGCATCAAAAATGCCAATCAGCACTTAAAGGAAGGGTTGCCCAATGTGAGAACTTAAATGTAACAGACTTGATGTATTAACCAGCAAAACACTCGTCCATATTCCAGAAAAGAGTGTCCCAAACCCGTACATACCCATCAAAACTTTAGACATGCATGCACAAACTTCAGTAGACAAACCTGATTTTCTTATAATTGATATTTATTATATAGTTATTATATGCAGGGATATTCATCAAAATGCTCCTAAAAGATTAACTATTCAGCATTTTACCCATGCTGTTTAGAAAAGCCCATCAAAATACACATGATCATAAGGGCTGCATTCTGCTCACTCCTCATGAGGACCTTTTGAAAGCGTTACTACTATAAATAAATAATGTCAACGTTTTAAAAAGAACACAAAAAATACACATGATCATAGAGTTGGAATAGTTGAAAATGGATAAAATTTTAAATAGCTGATATGCTAAGTGTCATTTGATAAATTTCCCTTATATATGGTTAGATATAACTATAAAAATACTTCTAATGTAGAGTCGTAGACATGTCAAAGCTCCATAATGTAAAGACATGTCTGTATCCTGCAAGGATCTTTTGAAACGACGTGTTGGAAATGGTGTCTATGTGCTTGTGACACTGAGGGAGACATTATGCCCAATGAAAGTAAAAGGTTTCTAAATCCAAAGATTATGTTTCATTGCACATACACTTTTTGCTCATTGCACGATTAAAACTCTTGAGATAAATATTCCCTATTTATTTAAATGATCTCAACTTCAACATAAAAAATTAAGCATTCATATTAAAACAATTTTTGGCAGTCCGTAGGAATTCTCACATTTCAGAAACTTGAAAATTTTGAGTTTGTCCATAGTTAGCACAGGTAAGGGCAATGTATCAATAAACAGAAAAACCAACATTCATCTAGTTTGACCCAAAAAAAGGAGTCCAAAAAAGAGTCTAAAAAAGTGCCAGAAAGTTATCAAGCGAAAAAACATGTTTCATACGCTCTGACTGAAGATATGGACCTTGATAGAACGGAATGACAGAACAGGATTCGTGTAGCTGACCCCAAATAGTTGGGATAAAGAGAGGATGATGATGATTTGTATGTGCATGTATACTTGGAGCACAGGTAAAAACATTAATCTCTAAGTAAATAAAATAAAATATTTCACAATTAGTACATAGTCACTGCTCAAGGTATAAAATGAACCTTGATAGAGAGACAAAGATAACAATGAGAAATTTATGGCAAACATTGGAAGCTTTTTTCAAAAAAGACAGTGCACCAATATTGTATGCTTTTTATTTTGACAAAACAGTTTTGGACAAATTTTTGCTAACGATAAACATACCCATGCAAATAAGAGAAAACTACTAAGATTTATGGCTTAATATTGGGAACTAGTTTTAATTGTATTACTTGCAAAATCAGGAAGTGACTGTGAGACTAGAAGCCAATATAGCTCTGGGAATATTTTTTCTCCATTAACTGCGACTGAAATGCCAAGGGACCCATAGTCTTGGTGGAGGCATATTGAACTACTAATGCACCCCCGAGTACTGCTCTCAAATATCTTGAAAAGAGAGACAAGCTTAAAATTTACAAGAGGAACCACAAAAGGCCAAAATAGTCATTGAATGCGTCTTTTTATGTCTTTCATTTAGTTTTTGAGTCATTTTATTTATTTAGGGGCATAAGTAGTAATTTCTAAAGTCTTTTTGTTCACTTAAGATCTTTTACAATAAACGGCCATGATTAGATTAGATGGATGGCCAAGATTGAGTCTTGTTTAGAGTTTTTTTATATAAGAGATGTTCTCAAGCATAATGAAGCATCTTGTTATGAACTTTATTCAAAACCCTAGAGCTTCCAATGCTCATTCTTTTATCTCTGGTTTTTGCATCTTTCTCTAATTTTGTATCTTCCCTATCTTCTTCTTTGCTAAACCCTAGCTGCAAGCTACTAGGTCTGCACAACAAGGCTCAAGCAAGAACCCAAAACATGCTAAAGGACGCTCTCTTTGGATTGTACACTCTCTTTGGACCATAGGGAAACTATATTACTAATCTTGGAAACGTGGCGAAATAGAATACCTCTGTTAGCAATACCAAGGAGAAATAGTATCACCTTGCACCAGATCTTGAACAATAAGAGACAGGTAGTAAAACCAAGTTGCTGAAAATTGTAACCCACATAAAATAAGAGAAATAGATCATATCACATATTTCTCCAACTCAGCCAACGTAACCATGAATCAGCTGATGTCTACCATCTAGTCCTTAGTATTGCACCATAAAGTATGAATCATTCCAATCTAAGAAAACGATACTATTATACCATCCGCCCAACATGATCACTAACGAACACAGATAATTGCGTAGATAGGAGGACAAAACGAACCAACCCACTTGTCCGTCCGTCCTGATCGGAACAAGGAGTTAAACCAAACTGCTAAATAATGTTACCCACATCAAATAAAAGAACACATCACATATTTCTCCAACTCAGCCACCATAACCACGAATCAGCTCATGTCTACTAGCTAGTCCTTAGTATCGCACCATAAAGTATGAATCATTGCAATCTAAGAAAACTATGCAGCTAGAAGGTTATATTGTGCCTCTTCATCTTGCAAGTCTCTTTCTAACCTTCATTGCAAGCACAAGTTGTCACTACAGAAAAACAAGCTCCTAAATAATGCAAATTCCAATGCTCACCGATCAAGTTACTAATTAAATAGTTAAATCAACTAAAAAATTTCAAAGGATGTGAAGGCCATCACACCATAAGGCATGGTAAACACATAGGTAGTAGAAACCAAAATTTGCAGCCGAAGAGTAGTTAACTATGATTTATATAATTCAAGACTCCAACACATTGTTAACCATACATAATAGTACATATTGGTGGCCACAGATGTCAACAGTGTCCAGAACATTACAAGCCATTACCATAATAGAGTACCTGTTCAATTCTATAAAATGGTGCCAAGTGGCTGTCAAAGAATTGTTTTTCTTCTGCAGCCTTACTCCCAGGACCCACCCAAAGCTGCATAGTAAATGAAACTGAGTGTTAACGGGCAGTTACAAATACCAAAAGAGGAAAAGAGTAACATTTGTCTTTTTTAATAAACTACAAAACTAATTAGTAAAAATTCCAGAATGTATAATGCTTACTTGCCCAAAAACATGCCTATGTTAAGTTACATTATGATTTCTATAAACACCATCAATGAGAAAATAAGGAAAATTGACAAAGGGAAAGGGGCCGCTGCTGTTTGGCAACATTAAACAAGAGAAAAATGCAATTATCAGTGGACCGCAATCACCAGAAAACCCAATGCTCTCTTAAGATTTAAAGGGATTTATTACAAATAATTCACTAGAACAACACGTTTTCCCCATGATCTATAGAGATCCCCATCATTTTCACATTGCCTATATCTACCACAGAAGACACAATTTCCCCATATTCTTCAATCTCAATCTCATCCAAAATTGTCACAAGGTCACTTTGTGGTCAAAATCCCAACCTGAAGCATATCGTTATCTTTCCATGCTATTGACAAGGTTGTTCAAGATCTTTGGACAAGTTAGTTGATTGGGAGAGCCCACAAAGGAGGAGTTTTGTTTCTGTTTGGATATATTCCTTCGTCTGGACCCCCACAACAATTTATTGAAGCTATTATGTTCGGTCTTCATAGCGAAGTAGCCTAGAACACCAACATACAAATACCATGTCTAGTTTATCAAAATCTTTACAAGTACCATTCCGAATGGATTGTAGTTCATCTATAGAGAATAATAGTTCAACACTTTATTCCTTCAACGATAGAAGCTAAAATCCCTAAGATTTAGGAAGCGTTTGATAACTAGAGCCGCAATTTTTCCCAAAAACTCTCAAAGAATGGGAGACCTGAAAATAGAGGGAAAAGGAGAATTGGTGGCCTGGAAACTACGAAACCTTGTTTGGTAACCTGTCTGGATTCCCTGGTTCTAGCATTTCCTCTATTTGGTAACCTGGGGAGCTAGGAACTACATGTTTTAATTGTTCATTACATACCTCATCGATTAGAGGTTTAAATTATATTTTCAAAAAGAGAAAGAAAGGGCTAGGCTATTTTAGAGAGAGAGAGAGTAGCTTCAGGGGGGTCAAAAGGTAGGATCTTGGGGCCAGGCAAAGAGAGAGAGAGAAAGCATAGGCTATGAAAGAAGGAAACGGCGGTTGGGTGGAGAGAGAGAGAGAGGCTCTGGGGGAGAGAGAAGTAGGCTCTAGGACAGACAGATTTAAGAGCAAGGAGCGGGGTAGGCTCTTTTGGGGGGAGAGAGAAGGGGGTGGAGGCTTTGTTGAGAGAGAGAGAGGTCTTTGAGGGTGTTTGTGCTTTTATTTTTGTTTGTTTGGGGGGACGGGGGTGGCGCGCGCAAATTTTTTCCCAAGCTTTCCCAAAAGTGGGGAGAAAGGGACAAGGTCGGGAGCCCAACTTTTCCCATTTTATTGTAATTTTACTCAAATGGAATGGAGAAAGCTACAGTATGGGAGGAAATTTGGGGACTTTCCTCAAGTTTCCAAGATACCAAACGCCCCCTCAATCTGATGTTGGAAAGAATTACAGCATCACTTATTGATCTCATCCAAATTGGATCAACTATGACACATTGATGATTATGGCTACTAGTTTGATCTTGTATGTAATAGAATTATTGCCCTAAGACTCCAAAAGAGACCAACGTTTTATGGAAGGAAACATCACATTACAGAGTTTGTCAGCACGTCTAATGTATGCTCCTCTGGTACTTCGATTGAAGCATATATAACAATTATTCATCAATTGTTACCATGTTGTGGAATCCAGATTTTAGTTACATGATCTCCTAAAAAAGAGAGTGATCCTGGTCCACGAATACAATCCCACACTTCCAGAGCAGGATTGCTGTCGAAATGCAATCCCATGTAGGAAAGGAAGTGCAATTCCAAAATAGGGGTAAACAAGTCAACACACTTCAATTTTTTTCCAGATTTTAGTTACAAGATCTCCTAAAAAAGATAGCGATCCTGGTCCAGGAATACAATCCCACACTTGTGGGATTTCAAAATAGGGATTGGTAGACAAGTCAACACACTAAAGGGGGCGTCACCTGGTGTGACAGTAAAAGGCTCGAGTAGCAAACGCAAGAGCGCAAGTTCGAGTCCTGAGAGCGGCCACTTTGTGCATAAGCCAAAGGTTAGGACCGTTTCCAGCCCACCCCTCCCGGGACCCTGCTTAGGTGCAACCAGCACGGGGTTACAGCCCTTTTTTTAGACAAGTCAACACACTTTAATTTTTTTTTAAGAAAAGGTTCTAAATACAAGTAATAAAATTCCCATGAGCTAAGGCAAGCAAGGCCAAACTATTGCAAAGGACTTTTTGCTGCCCCAACGAGTTATTCACTTTCCTTACTGAACTGAAGTGAGCACGGAATAAGGTATATATTCTATGTAGAGACATCAAAAATGCTTCTCCAAGCTTTCGTCCTTTTGGTTAGAGCTTTTTTTAAGATCTCATAATACTATCTCACAATTCAACAGACTCTCTGGCTTAAGTATGAGCTTGTTCCTGACATATCTTTGAAATATGGATAGGGTCCATGACTGAGCGAACAATGAAACTAAGATAGATGAAAATCCATCAAAAAAACGAAGCAATAAATGTACATCAATTAAAAAGAAAGAAATAATTACTAAAATCCATGCTTCATAAACTTTTAAAAGAAACAGATTTTTTTTTTGGAAAATAATGAGATTTGCGATGTGTAAAAAGCCACGACTTTATTCAAAAGAAAAGAAATTCTTACGTCTGCATCAATCAAAAAGAAAAAATTTCAAATTCAATGCTCCTAAAATCGCATTTAATACAGGGAATGGCCAGTCCAATGTTCATCATAAATCGTTATGATGCTTTGCCTCATCCTCCTTTTCCGTGAACCAGAGTAATAATAAACTCTCTCGCATCTCTGTCTATTTCTCTCTCCATATATATATATTTATTTGCTCTCCACCTCATGCTTTAAATGTTTTTTCTTTTTTCTAAATTGAAAACAAAGCGCATATGTCAAGAAAAAGGTCATATGTCAAGAAAAAGGCACGACTTGTATATGATTTGACAAAAATAAAATGTCTTGTTATCATATTTAAATGTCAAATCGAATAAATATCTTTAGTATAATATTTTGAAGGGCTTATGTATGACGTAACTCAAGTAAATAAGTATGACGTAACTCAAGTAAATAAGTATGACGTAACTCAAGTAAAGAAATATGAGTTACTACTCTCAAAATTTATTTTAGTAAATATACTTATAATTATGGTAAAACATGTTTCAAATATATTAATTTTGCATCAAAGTATAATTCAAAAATTTGTTAGCTTTAAAACTTTTCTATTCTTATATATTTATTGTATGGGACACTCCGAAACTAGGGAATCCCAAGCAAGCAACGATCCCCAGCTCCTGCTCCCACCTTCAACAACTATGATCGAAATGCATTTTATGAATCAAAACACCAATGATAATGAATCAAGTTCCCACCAAACTCTGAACATGTTTATGTAACAAATCATCAATTAACAAACCTTCTTAACAATTGATAGAATGGAGTGCTAAACTAATCTAAGTAAATATCAACCTCGACTCAGTGTAACTTTTACATAGACTTTATGTGAAGATACACAAAATTAAAGCACAGTTCCACACATTATCCTCAAAAGGTTCAGAAAAGCAAGAAGCAAAAAGACTCCTTCTTGCAGACACACCATTACTAACCCAGAAAAGGAAAGCTTAAACGCAATAGGTGCACACCGGCATAGAAGTTCTTTATGCCTAACAGACATGGTCTATAGAAAGTTTTAGGAAGGCACAAGTTGTGAAAATACTGGAACAGGGTTTGAATTAGGATTGATTGGCAGAAAAAGAATGGACCAGTGAGGTGGTGGTCAGTGATTAAAATAAGCGCCAGAATCAGCAAAAGGCCACAATGATGGCTAAGATGAAGGCACCAAGTTAAGAGAACAAGAATTGGATACCCGTGAGTCAGAGTTCATGATGAACACCAACACTATGCTGCAATTGCACAATGGCCAGCAAAACTCAGAGACCTCAAAAGTGGTAAAACTAATATGATGGATTTGACCACAATAAAAGGCCAAATGGGCACCCCCATAGGTGGCAGAACAACCCAAGGGATGGTGGGTCATGTAGTCCAATTCCTAGTGCTAAAGCATTACATTCGACTGCAAAGAATGATGTGAAGGCCCATATCAATCAAATTTAGGCTAGCAGTAATTATGATGAAAACCCTTTCGTTAGGCTATTGAATGTTGGTTGAAGTCAATGATAAGGCAGATGATGGTGGTCAAAGTTACAGAAAATAGATGACACTGGAGCCCAAACCTAATCTCCAGCAGAGCAGTGCGGCTGAATCAGGGGAAGGTGGAGTTGTAATTGAACCTAAAATTGGAAGAACAAGAGCCAAAGATAAAGAATAAGTAATAGGGCAGTTTCGAACAGTGTGCAAAAACTCGGCTTGGGCTCCGGACTCAGCCCCTGCCCATGACGAGTAACTCGGGCAAGTCCAAAGGCCTAAACGAACCTACAACGGGCTCAAATTTTGCCTTAAAAAATATAACAAAAATAGCCAAAAATCATTAAAAATCAGTAGAAAATAATTGATTGTATTTGTGCATCATTCACTATAGGTATGATGGGAAAAAGTATATATAAAATGAAATACATGAAAACTGATATATAACTTGAAACAATTCAGAAAAATCTAAAAAATGAAAAAATGAAGAGATAGATATGTATACAAAATGAAGAGATAGATATGTATAAACATATGTATACATAATTTTATTAGTGGTTTAGTAATAAATAAATAAAATATTACTATTATTTATTTTATTTTATTTTTGTATAAAGAATTCGCCTCGGCAGGGTGCCTAGACCAAGTCAACTAGGTCGAGTTTTAAAACATGTGTTTCAACAATCCTCATTCCAATAAGGGTGCAGTTGGCATACGGATGCATCCGTAGCTGTAGAGGTAGGGTGCACCTTCAAATTTTATCATGGTATATAATTTTGATGTAAAATGTTCTTAGGATTATCTCAAAATCTATTTTTATATCTAATTATAAAATTTTAAATTTCAAAAATGATTAAAATAAAGTAGATCTATAAACATATGAAAATCTTGAAAATGGACGGTGTAGATAATATGTTGTAAAATGCACTATTTCTGAGACTTAAAATCTTTTTATTTTTCATGGTCATACATCTCGATGTCAAGATGATCAATCAAAGGGTTTTTCAACATTAAAACTACCTTTTTCGATGGATTTTTGAGGTGCATCCGTAGTTCTACATTATAAGGTTGCATCCTTATCTAAACTTTTCCCTTCCAATAAATTGATAGCAGTGAATATTTTAATGTGAATACTCGGACATTGTTATGCTGCTCACAGCAGGAAACTCTGAACGATATATCCTGCATAAACTGTACTTACGAAGAAATCTAATCCCATTTCATATTCATTGAATTCCCTCAGCTCAAATGCCCACAATACTTGACAACATTGCACAATGCACCACTCCCAAAGTGAAATTAACACCCATAAGTTAAATCTAGATGCTAAATGGATGAACTCTGAGAGCAAAAACGAGTCGTCAACCCAAACCACCTATCTCAATATAAGTAATACTTCACAGATTTAAATTAAAAGGAACTCAATACTCCTAGGAAGCTTGAACCTCATAGACATAACGTAGAGAAAAGTACAATAAAGAGCTAGTACCAATTTGATCATGAGATATTGCCTCAAGCATGTGATGTTCCCTCAAGAAACATTAGCAACAAAGTATATGAAATTATGAACCATTCAAATGATGCATTAATAGCAGCAGCATTAAAGTAACACTTTTTTTGGTGAATAAAAAAGTGGTAAGTCAGTGGGGATTTGGGCCCCTACCCTTTGGAGAGAATGGAGTCAGAGACCTCACCATGGAGCTGGGCATTACTACCGCCAAGGCCCCAGGCCATTCTCATAGCATTAAAGCAACATGCAATATGCTACGTGTAAAATGTGAAAAAGTGTGAGAAATTTCCACCAATTTAATTAATTTTGTTGTAGGTAATCAGTTTTTCATGCTAATTAACCCATGATCAGAGATCAGAAGCCATTCAAAGCAAGAAATTTGACTTCATTTTGTAATGCCAAAGCTTATCATTGATTTTTATCATTTTGGTACTACGTAAATTACCCAAAATTATACACATCAACACAAGACATTTGCTGTAATCATGTTATCGAAGGACCCTAAAGATGTTCAAGAATAAAAGGTAGCATTTTAAAATCAAGAGCCCTATAATAATGGCAACAATCAAGTTGACCAGGAACTCTCGAGTTCATGAAACACCCAAGGCAAGAAAGATGCATGTAGATATCTCGCCAGATATTCAAAACTTCAACTGACAGCTGAAATCAAAGAGCAGTGGCATAAAAATAACTCAAACAACAAGATTAACTATCTTATCAGAAACTAAAAACACACCCCATGTATTACAAGCGATCAGGATCTCTATCATGTGAGGTTCTAACCCAACAAAGTTTCTCCCAGTATCAGTAGAGCATACCTTCTCAGGCCGTGACTCCACCTTGAACCGTATAAGACCAATAGAAAGTAGAAGAGCAATAGCCACCGAAGAACAAAGAACAAGAGTCGGATTCCTCGCAACCCACGTTCCATATCTCCTGTGCATTAAAAGAAACATTCATCCACAACTGAAAATACATAAAGGAGGGATTGGAGAAAATATGTGTTATTCACAAGGAAAAGACCTGTAGAAACTAGAAATGTATTGTTGAATTAGAGGAAGATGCAACTCCTTAAGCATTTGTGGACCGTCATCTGACATCTAACAATAGAAAACACTCCAAAGTCATAATCCTTCCATAAAATCCGTATGACAGTAAGAATCAGCGCACGCACACTCATGCACATGCTCGGGTGCTTGTCCATCAGGCCTCCCTCACACACAGACATGCACACACAGATAAGCAAGCACACATGCTCGCAGGCACCACATACATGCACATGAACATTCAGTCACCCACCCAAAGTGCACACACACGTGCGCGCACACACGCTCACAAAATAACATAAACACACAGATTCTCATATATATGAAAATCTGTGTGTACGTATGTATGTATATATATTATATAGATAACAAACATACACATGCATACATCCATATATCATACATAAGTAATCTAAGCAGAGGAAGATAATATAGCACTTCCTGAAGTAATTAATATCCATACTGCAGGGGAAGATAATATGCAATATGCAGGGCAAAATGATATATATATATATAACAAACATACACATGCATTCATCCATATGTCATACATAAGTAATCTATGCAGAGTAAGATAATATAGAGCTTCCTGAAGTAATTAATAGCAATAATGCAGGGGAAGATAATCTGCAATATGCAGGGGAAGATGATATAATGCATCCTGTAGTAATTAACATCAATAATGCAGGCAACACAAAAGGCCCATGTGAACCCCCTCAAAATCGACCAATAAGACTGATTGAGAACCAAAATTTTTGCAGAACCATTCTCATGACCTCTAAGATGAGATCCTGGAAACAAAAATAGATGTCGAGCTCTAAAAATGCTCCATCTTGAGTAGTTTTTCAACATCTAATTCAGACCGTCCATTTCAGTGGGCCCCAGATCAATCAGATTTTCATCATTTTAAGAGATCCAAATCCATTTTTTGAGGGTGGAAATGGATTTGCAGGTGGGCAGGAAGGCTGTATCTTTAGAGGATCATGGTACTCTATGCTTTATGTTTGAAATCCAGAGTTTGTTGTCTCAAAATCCCAAACTTCCTAAAGTACAAGAGGTTGTAATCCTTGGAAGTTTCAAAATGCAGATAATAGGCAAGGTTCCAACTCTTTAAAGATTCCATTGGAAACAGTCATTTCAAGACAGGGTATTGATGAAAAAATAAAACCAACGGTCATGCTAAAACCAAAAAGTGTGCTACTGTTTTGGAGAAGCATCCAGTGGCCGCGCTGAAAACCAATGGCATTAAAATACAGTACAATCCACACCCATCCTTTACTAATTAAGCACTGGATGAAATCACAGACTTGTATTCTCAGGTGACAACAAAAGGAAATAATTACACTCACCTGTGCAGGCCGGATTTCCTTCTCCTGCTTATCAGCAGAACGCAGTTGGTTTTCATCCTCAGCATTTAGCAAGGGCCTCATTCGAGGTGAATGGCTACTTCTTACTCGTGTTCGTCTTAAAATACCCCACCCAAAAAATGTAGAGATTAAGACAATATAGATTATTGTCAATGTGAAATCCACACATCTGACCTGAAAGCATCAAAAGATGGCATCTCATCATATTAATAAATCTCAAAGCAGATTTCCACAAGCTAAACATCGCTGTAGGCAGGATACAGCAAGACAACAATCGTTAGTTTTCAAGTAAAGTTATGCATTCATCTCACACTATTTAAAAGAGGCACGTGGAAGCTTTATAAGTGAACCCAAAAAAAAATGACCTACTATTTACCTTAAAAGATGGAAATGTAATAGAGCAGGAATGCCTTTTAGGTGGAGAAGGGGGTGCAGAACCAGAGCATGAAGGAGAAGAAGGGCAATCACCACAAGAACAGCCCAGAGAAGTGTCACCGCATGAATAAACAGATGTGTTCATAGGCTCCATCCCAAATGACTCAGAAATCTTTGATTGGAAATTAATTGCATATGGCGAACCAGGCACATCCATTTCAGCCCGATGTCCAATAAAAGCAAACCAATCTACAATGAACAATCGAAAAAAAGAGAATCATGTATCTTGAGAAGAAAATTAATTGCATATTTTAAGAAAACTAAACAATTCAGCAGCAGCTACAGAAAAGGTTTCAAATTGTTCAAACTGTAAGCATCAGTAGGACACCCTAATGTCCCTCTTGAAAACACATAATGGCTCAGTAATTTGAGAATACAGATAGAGCCAACTAAACAGCAGTGAATCACTCAACAAAACTTGACAATGATGCCTCAGAAAATGCCCCAGAACTCAATAATCAAGATAGACCCAAAAACCATAGTCAAAATGCTGGTATACTCTGTAATCGAAAAAAAATGAAGTCAGGACAGTTTCTTAAGGGATCAACAGGGTTGGCTTTTCCAAAGCAGTCATGATCAACAAAAGTCAACCACAATTAGTCAATACTGCAACAGGTCATGATATTTTTTTCTAATTAATATTAGATATTGACAACCGACTATCCAGTATAAGACTTTCTCATAGCAACTTCTGCTTTTTTCATCAAGGTTCCCCATAACAATTTCATACGACTAAATATAAATTGGCACTCACAGTTACATGTCTCCTGAATTTGTGTGTCAACATCCTTCTATGCACCAATTATTTGAACTTTCCTCTCGGTAGTATAGAGATGAGTGATGTGGATAGGTGAGTCACCCAGATGACAATACCCAGATCTCATCCAACGGTAAACTTAATAGAATTATATATTAATCCACTTTCGTATGCAAGTACAGAAATTGCAGTAACTTTTGGATTCAATTAAGTAGGAAGCACAACAGTTATTTAGTAATCTAATCATGCTAGTAGTTAAACTAACTACTAAGTATTTCAAATGCAGCATTTCTTAAATTTGGAATTCAAAAGTTCAAGAAAAACCGTCAGTATATGAGGGTTTCTAATATAATAATGTATTCACATGTATTAAAATGTTTAGCAATCTGAAGTATCCTAGAAGCTTTGCTCCATATTTTAAAAACTTCACCCCAATTTTATGCCTAGCAATACGACCTGCGACCCTTTCTTGCCCTCGCTCCCTCACAAGAAAGGGTGACCACAACAATGTTCTCCTCAGTCAACAGGTAAATGACGGGCAATTCTACACAACACAGCCAGAGATTAATACAGAGAGATGACACAGACAAAGACAGAAGCGAATCCACTCATATTTCAAACAAGTTCTTCTGGAACTCTCCTGCATTAAAGGCTTTTACCCCTAAGAAAAACCCACATTTAGTGCCTCATTGTCATTCAATTCACCAATGATCACATTAGAGGTAATTACCATGATACATTGAAATCAGGAAACAAAAGGACTATTCTTATGCAATATTTGGGAGAGCGAAAGGATGAGAGTGCCGATGAGAGGTTGTAAGTTAGTATCTATGATTCTATCTGTTTCAGATCCATCGGGTTCATACTTGCATTGATTTGGTTTTTGGTGGATTGTGACAGGGATGTGCTCCCTCATAGTTATTGTAATCTTTAGATTCTGTATACATGACAAATACTATAATTTAGTAGTCATCTTTCACTAGAACAGAAGGATGGAAGTGTCAATGCAAGATTGAAATCTTCAGACAAGAAGTCTGACATGTGATTGAAAACCTCCCATGCTATCCTTAGCAAAAGTGCACCGCATGGATGGTTTGTTCATATATGTTACTTCTCCGTGGTAACATATATCATTTGGGCAACCGAGTTGTTGCACATAATACAAAAGGGTTATACTAAACTTAGAAGTATATAACACACGGTGTAGAACTTAGAATCCTTATGAAATCATTCTACAAAATTAACTTAAACTTAGCATCATTCATCCTTCACTTTATTTTAAGGTTCGTTACATGGCACCAGATAAGACAAGACCCTTGCAACCCAAAAATACTTATCAGAGGAGAAAACCAAGAGAAAGACGACAATATCGATGAGTAAAGACGCCCTACCTCTTCCACAAACCGTAATTAGGTTTTCAATAGGGCAAACAATTTGTGGTTGGATCCACCTCCATAGATTTTTCATTCCGTTTTTCTAAGAGAATGATGCAAGACAATTATTTTTTAAATTTTTGTTTAATTCCAAAGGACCGATATCTAATTTTAAGATTTATTAAGAGTGAGGATCAAAGGGTCTTGTTGAAGGATGAAGATGTCAACGAAAGGTGGAGAGTTTATTTTGAAAAAATTATTAAATGACGAACACAATGGAAATATAGAGGTAGAAGGAACCGTTGCTATAAATGAGGGAAAAGGACATAGATACATCCATAGGATTAGTATGTTGGAAGTGAAAAAAGTTTGAAAAGGATGAAAATAGAAAAAGCTTTAGGACCAGATGGTATCCCGATTTGGAAGCGCATCGGGGAGATTGGCATTGAAGAGCTGACGAAGCTGGTCAACAAGGTGCTGATAACAAAGAAAATGCTAGACAAATGAAGGAAAAGCATTGTAGTACCTATTTACAAGAACAAAAGAGACATACATAATTGTGCAAAATATCGAGGGATCAAGCTTATGAGCCATACTATGAAACTCTACGAGAGAATGATTGAGCAACAACTAAGGCATGAAACAAGTGTATTTGAAAACCAATTTGGTTTTATGCCATGAAGGTCAACAACCGAGGCTATTTTCCTACTTACACAACTAATTGAGAAGTTTAGGGAAAAGAAAAAATATCTCCACGTGGTCTTTATTGATCTAGAGAAAGCTTATGATAGAGTACCTCGAGATTTGATTTAACATCGTGTTTAAAAGGAAAGGAATCTCCAGACACTACATCGACTTGGTGAGAGATATGTACGATGGAGTGCTAACTAGTGTACGAGAGACGAGTGAGTTTTCAGTGACAATAAGTATACATCAAGGGTCAACATTGAGCATGTACCTCTTTGTCTTAGTTATGGACGACTTAACCAGGCACCTTCAAGATGAGGTACCATGGTGCATGTTATTCGCAAATACATAGTTTTGATCAATGAGACCCGAACAGTGTCAACACAAAGCTAGAACTTTAGAAGGATGCTCTCGAATCTAAAGGTTTTAAAATTCGCCAGACTAAGACAGAGTATATGGAATGCAAATGTAGTAATAATAGGAGTAGAGACAAGGAAGTTGTTAAGATTGATGGCCAAAAAGTACCAAAAAGATCGCACTTGATATCTTGGGTCAACAATCCAGGAATATTGAGAGATTGAGGAAAATGTCACACACAGAATTAGAGCTGGGTTGGCGAAATGGAGATATGCAACTGGAATTTTAGGTTATCGCCGCATACCAATGAAGCTGAAAAGCAAGTTCTATAGGACATATGTGAGACCAGCTTTACTCTAAGGGGCAAAATGTTGGGTGGACAAAAAACAATATGTTCATAGAATGAGTGTAGCGGAGATGAGGATGTTGAAATGGATGAGTGGCAAGACAAGAAGGGATAGAATTCAAAATGAATCCATTCGGAAAAATTTAGGTGTGGCACCAACAGGTAATAAGATTATAGAGATTAGACTTAAGTGGGCTGGCCATGTGTGGCGCAGACCCAATACAGCACCTGTTCAGAGCTGCAAGTTAGTTCAAGTGGAAGAATTGAAAAGAGCAAAGGGTAGGCCCAAAAGGACGTAATTGAAAATAGTCTGAAAAGACATAGGGATTATGGCCTCATTGAGGGTATAGCCTTTAATATTGCAAAATGGCGAACCAAGATTTGTATAGCTAACCCCAATTAATTGGAAAAGGCTATGATAAGGATGATGATTTTTACGATTTTTAATTTTTTTAGAGATCCTAGAGTTCTTTTACATTTTTTGGATTTTAGGAGTTATTTAGAAAAGTAGTTAGAGTGCTTATGGCATTATTTGTTTTATCAGAGGTATAAATGTCATTACAAATCTTGTTTTAATTAGGACTTTTGATTCAAATAGAATTAGGAATAAACTAGGCTTGTTGGCTTCTTTTAATTTTGAATCAATTCATCATTTTTTATATTTTTTAAGAAATCTTAGTATTTTCTTTTATACGAATTTGCATCATCTGATATCTAAGTAGAGGACTTGTGATCAACAAGGGCAGAAACATTTTATCAAGCTTAAGAGTTTGCTGATCTCAACAAAGGATTTGTGCTTTCAGCCTAGGATTTGCTCATTTCCGGATTTACTGCTTGAAGTTTGTAATTTCGGCAAATCTATGGCAGCAAGAAGGTGTCAAGGAAGTAGAGATCTCATGGATATCCTTCGCGATGCCAGAGATGAAGAGATTAAAGATCTGAGGAGGTAAGTTCAGCAGCTTACACAACAATTCATGGGCATCACTTAAAGGCAAGAAGGTGATCTCTCCATCCAAGAAGATGTCAAGTAAAAGTACAACCCTTTCCATCGCAATGCTCCACGTGGGTCGTTGAGTGATGAGGAAAGTGATTACAAGACCTAAATATGGGGGACATCACTTTAGGGTTTTCAATTTTAAGGTATCGATTCATGATTTAATGAGCATAATTTGCCTCATAACAAAGGGAGAGGTAATCTCACTACTTGTGATTACAATTTGGTTCATGACATTTAGGCCAACCACGGAGAATCCTTATTTCCATCAAGTAAGTTTCCAAAATCAGCAAGTTGTAGATTAGGATTCACCACCAATCTTTGAATCATGCTCAGATGAAGAAACATAACTTGTAGGAGATACGATCCACGATCATGAACAAGAATTCGTGGTTGAACCTCTCTATGACGAAAAAACGATGCAGCACTCCAAGGGAATTTGTTGGTTCGGCCATCGAATATGGTACTCATCTCGAAGATGTTCCCTTGATTGTTCTAGGGCTGACCTTCGGCAATTTCAGCAAGCTTATGCGGCTGAACATACTCTATCGATATACAGTGACCTATCCTAGAGTTGTTCTCAAAAGAGTTTATGTGCTTGTGTTGATTTTAAAGCCCCAATCTCAATGCACAATTGTTTTGTTTTGATTGGGCCAATAATCCACAGGTCCAAGGTTTCAAAGCATAATGTTTGGGTTAAAGAAGATTGTGAGACCAATGTAAATTTCATCTTAACCTACTTCAAAACGAGAATGAGTTTTCTCCACCCAAGGGAGTCCGATGCAAGACAAAATTATTTTTATTTTTAAATTTTTATATTTCAAAGGATAGATATTTATTTATTTTTAATTTTATGGTTTTTATTTAGTGCTTTTTGGTTTTTTTAGGGATTCTAGGTTTTTTGTACTTTTGGATTTCAGGAGTTGTTTAGAAAAGTAGTTAAAGTGCAAACGGTATTATTTATTTTATCGAGAGAAAAAATATTATTATGAATTTTGCTATAATTAGGACTTTTAATTCAATTAAAATTAGGATTTCTTGGGCTCTAAATGAAGGTTTTATTATAAATAGGGGTATGTAAAAGCTTTAGAATGGATATTTGAGTTGTTTAAAAACAATGCTTCCTGGAATTCTTGTGAATTCTGCAAAGCCAATGAAGCTAAGCTCGTTAGCTTCCTTCAATTTCGAATCAAATCATTAGTTTCTATTTTAGAAATCTGATGTAGGGAGAAAGTAATAACCTAGAGAGTAAAAATAAAATAAAAAGGATTTTGAGAGATTATACTCTCTCTGGGTCCACAAGGGGGTCCACCCTAAGATCTTTTCACACAATCAAACTCTTTACTCAATCATCAATAATCTTTTACAAATAAGGGACATCTTCCCTTTAAAATACACTCAGTAGAAAAAATAAATAAATAAATAAAACCCACAAACGAAAAATAACCCCCTCTCTCTCTCTTCTCTACGTACCACTTCTTCAACCCACCCTTATCTCTCTCTAACTTCATATATTGTAAAAAGGAAATTTGATATCTTTTCCAACTCTCCCTTGTCTCTTTCTTTTTTTCTCCTTTCATGATATGTATCATCTCATTAAGAGATAACAACCTCAACTCCCACCAAAATAGAAACTATATCCTCACAATAATCAATCCTAATCAACTCCCATACAGGTTTTATTATTGTACCCTTTAAATCTCTACAACTAAAGAAGACAAGAACCTTAAAGAAAACTAAAAACTCAAATAACACTTTTTTTAAATATTTAAAAATATATATATGAAATAAAATTTAACCCCCCCCCCCCCCTTCCCCCTTTTTTATTTGCATCATTCTCCCCAGGTTGAGAGAAGCTTGACCTCGAGCTTATAGAACTCAAATATTTTAAAGACCTTCTCAAAAGTTGGTGATGCAATCCCAACATTCTTCTAGATACTCTTTCTTCTTCAAATAAAAAATTGAGCCAGCACAATTTGCAGTGGAATTCTGAGACACCGAGTTTTGGAATACTAAACTGAATCTTGATTTCTCCTTTGGGCTCACATGGTGGTATTTCATAAGCTGCCACACACGTAGCTTATCTTCAAAATTGATTTTCGAAATTTCTTGCATGTTTGGGCCATCAACATCGTCTTTGCATCAAGGTCTACCTCTTCATATTCTTCTTCCTCATGCTACAATCTACTAAATAGATCACGTAAACCTTGTTCTATTACTTTGCTAATACGTTCTATTAGGTCTTCTTCGAGAATCTCAAATTTTTGATTCAATCGCCCAAATATTTAATCTATATGCTCCGTATAACTAGATCATCAGTTATTTGTGATCACCATGGATCGCAAGGCTCTAATACTGGATCTTTTTTTGCTATGATACCAACTGATGCAGAGTAAAAATAACAGGAAAATGAAAATAAAATAAAAAGATTTTGAGATATTATACCATCTTCGAGTCTGCAAGGAAGTCCACCCCAAAAAAATTTCACAAGATCAAACTCTTTACTCAATCACCAATAATCTTTTACAAAGAAGGGACATCCTCCGTTTAAATACACTTAGTTGAAAAATAAATAAATAGATAAAATCCACAAACAAGCAAAAACACTCTCTCTCTCTCATTAAGAGACAACAACCTCAACCCCCACAAAAATAGAAACTATATCTTCATAAAAATCTATCCAAACCAACTCCCATAGAGAATTTACTATTCTACCCCCTAAATCTCTACAACTAGAGAAGATAATAATAACCCTAAAGAAAACTAAAAAACTCAAATAACACCTTTTCTAAAAACAAAATATATATATAATAACAAAATTAAAAAACTTCGATTTTTATTTGCATCAAAATCTTAGTATTTTTCTTTGGAAGGAATTTGCATCAAAGAAGCTCTTCAGTGTGCTGGGAAACTCCTTTTTTTCATAAGTTTACACATACCCATGTGCATGACTGCCTGCATTCCACTTATAGGTAGGAAACATTTGTTTCACTAATGGATCTTTAATTCCTAAACATCATTAAAAATAAACACCCAAGTCCATGCGCTAAAGTTGCTTACATGGATACCTTTTTTCATAAAGTAGTTTTCGAGACAATTTCAAGAACACGCGAATAAGCCATCCAAGAAAGCAAAAGTTCAACATTTCAACATATTGCCAAAAGTTTAAGGACATGAAAAAAAGCCATCTGAGAAAGTAGCAGTTCAAATTTTCAACATGTTGCTAGAAGTGTAAGACAAAAAGAGGATGGACAAAGCATGTGGCCGTGCTCCACAACAGTTCATAAAGAAACTAATTTAGCAAACCTAGGATCCACAACTGTATAGCAGATGCACAAAAGTACGATATAATTCTCATTAGCACAAATCTTTCTTATTCAGAATAGAAATATAGATCTTTCAGTTTATCATTATCAACAAACCTACCATCAAAAAATGCAAGTGTACACAGTTGAATAGATCGACTTTGGTTTTCCTATTATCAAAGATCAAAAACATATGGATGTACTACATTAAGCATTCTGACACCATACCACTAAATAACCTAGACTATGACCAGTTAAAAATCAACATGCACCATACCTTTATATGATTTTGCCCCAGCACCAATGAAATCCATTGCTCGCGTATTCATTGTACCAAACTTCACATCCTTGCAAGAGTTATATAACTCTTCACCATAGGAACCAGTAACGTAGAAGTCAATGCCGTCTACAGTTAGAGTATTATTAACCTAAACAAGAAGATACATTTAGGGTTCCTTCCACATATGGAACAACTACATGTAGCATAAGACCAAAATAAAACAAAGCAGGCAATCTGCAATTATTTTTTAAAGCATTCCTTGTCAAGTGAGAGGTGTATTGCAAAACCCTCCTAACACAGCAGCTAGAATTACATTCCAAACATTATAGCAAGAAATTGGTCATCATAGGATGAAGGTGCTTTATAACAATTATGATGGATTCAATACACGAAGTATAAATATATATAATCTATCATTTCTGGAAATATATTGGATTGCACCAAGCATCTAAATGTTTGGCCACAACAATTATCTTATTTTCTTCTTTGGCCCATGTTCCTTCAGACTTTATTTCTAAGATTTCCCATATAAATATATTTTTTTATATATAAAATTCTCAATATAAATATGATTTTGTACTGAATTTCAATTGGTCCCAGCTCATTTATAATACCATAACTGTTGTGCCTCTACAACCAAATAATTATATGTTGTTCACATATATAGTTGTAAGTTATAAATATCGTGAAATTATAAATATTGTGGTTAAATTGCATAGTAGTAAATTTACAAAGTTTAACAAGTTTGATGTAGAGAGCTTGATAAACAGTAAAATAGCAAGAAATCAGAATGAAACCTCAGTCAAACGCATGCAATTTTGAGAAAACCCTAAGGCATCCTCCCCACGTAAGCTCAATCCTTAGACTTCTTTTCTTTCTTTTTAAATAGAAGTTTGTTTTTCTCTAAAAAAAAGTGACTTGATTCCCCTCCATCCATCCACACCCCACTTAAGAGTTCGTGATAAGAGCAAGTGGAGGGTCTTAACTTACACAACCATAGGCCACAATTGATGGCGGAAAGAGATCAACCCCAACGCAACGAGTTCAGTCCTGTTGCTACATGAGCTACTATTTTGAGTTTTAGGAAAGAAAGCTCGCTCCTATTAAACTTTGCCTACTCTACTAAAAGGGAATTTAAGTATAATTTAACTCCCCAACTTTAATTAAAATGTCTGAAAAGTCCCTAACTAGTCCAACAATGAAATAAATAAATAAATATTAGAAATAGCCCAAAAATAACTAAAAAAACTATTCAAACTATTTCTTGCTCTTCTTGTTCTTCTTGGAAGCCCTCCTAGGGTTTTCACCCTCCAAATATGTGCGAGAATTAAGAGGAATCGGTCGCTCCCAAAGAAGATACTTGTGGCTACTCAATGTGCTCTGATCACAATCATTCTCCACGGGTTGAGGAGAACCCCCCGGGGAGCACATCTGCCTAAGCAAAAGGGGGACAAGGTAAAGAGGATCTTGGACAGCCGCAGCATCCCTACACGCCGTGGAGATTACAGTCAGTATTTGGTATAGTGGAAGGGCCCAACCGATGCCGAGAGATCATAGATTTCTAAAGAAGATTGGACGAAGATTGATCCTAAAGCCCATTAGAAGTTCATTGCCAGCTCGAACTTGAGGACAAGCTCTCTTTAACCCAGAGAGATTGATGAAGAAAATAAACAAACGTTCTGTTAACATTTTGTGGAGACTGCATTTTCCCGTTTAGCTTTTTTGGTAAGCAGGGGTAGCTTGCGTATTTTTCTCATGGAATGTACGGAAAAGTTAAGGGGTTCCATTTAAATTTTGAGCGTGGCAAAATCAGGAGTGAAAATGTCACAATTTGCATTTAAAATTTGCTTACAAAGACATGTTGTGCATGGGGATAGTGTCCATTAATACTCCTAGAAATTTCCATTATGCATGGCTTGGGAAAAGGTATTATGTGTAACTTGGGAAGGGATAGAGTCTATTAATGCTCCTAGGAAAGTTAATAGAGCTTCAGTCTAGGAGCTAAGCCAAATCTATTAAAAGAGGTAGACTTTGACCCAGCTGGAATCAATGTTTTTGCCATAAAATTCCAGAATCAGGAACTTAGCTCCCATTTTGGGGTGTATTTGGAACCTCATACAAACCATTGAAGCTAGCCTTTGTTAGCTTTAACCCATTGCCTTTGAATCACAGCTGAAATCCCTTAATTTTACCTGATTTTGAGCTATTTCTCTCTCTTTTCTCTCTGTTCTACATTACAGAGCCAGTGTGAAACTACTACTTTGTTGAATAGCAGTAGATCACACTCACTGGTTCAAGGTGTCCCTTGTTTCTGATGCATTAAACCTTTAACAATTTCTGCTACAAAAAATGATTTAAGGTTGAATTTCCAGGCTTCTGCAGAAGATTAAGAGAGGTAATAGGCACTGAACTCATCCTCTAATGGTAGCAGATAAATTGTTATTTAATTTATATTTCACCTGACTCCTATTCTTTAGCTTTTCTCTCTAGTTCAAGGTCTTTCATTGGTCCATTGTAGTTTTCCGCATGCTTGGGTGCAACTTTCAATGCATTTAGTCCTAACCATGACACCGGTTATTTCTTGCAGTTCCTAACACAGGAATTGTGTTTTCTGAATCACATCATTCGGTTTACTCTTTCTATCAAAAAAGTCTATCTTATTTACTGGAAAATGAAAAATCAGGTCATACTAGGAACTTGAAGAACAAGGGGACTCCCAAAGTTTGAGAAAGGAACCAATCTTTGACCAAATTTTTTAGATATGCAGACCATTGCGAGTTTCCTTAAGCATATGTGACTTGAGGCCATTGTAGTAGTGGATGCCCTAGTAAAAGAGGGTGCATCCAGCCACAATTTTGTAAGTAATCCGTCCCAGTCATGACTACTGAGGAATTGTGTTTCTATGAATCACACTAATCTTTTATCATTAAAGCATGTAACTAGCCATGCATGTATGATCTTATGTTATATATTAGAAAACATGCATCACTTGTTTACTCTTCATGGATATGCCCCATGCACTTTTCATGTGAAAATGTTATGTAACCCACTCTTGGAAGAGAGGATAGGAACTAACCTTTTCTTACAGTTGTCAATAAACAATAAAGCATGGATGAAAGTCAAGGTAAGTTAATAGGTACACAGAACATCTAAGTAAATGCAACTTTTAGAGCAATTTTCTCATAAATTTTGGATTAAATATGAAAAAACAAATCGACACAAAATAAATGGAATAGAAAAAACAGGAGATAAGAAGGGGGGGGGGGAGGGGGCTGTTGATAATAAGCAATATAGTGAAGAAATATAAACGAAAAATAAATAAACTTTCAAGATAGCGATGAACAAATTCCCACTACCATGATATTGATGCCAACAGGAACCAGTCCCAATCGTCAAAAAGTGCTAATTTCAATGGCATTCACCGTATATATAAAAACCAGTAGGGAGCACATAGGCACAAGAAGATCACGCCAAGCAGCAATACACCAAAAATTTTATTGGCATTTTAATGTTTATCTATACTATATATATTGTTTATTGTATTTGCCCTTTATGTCATCATTATGCAATAATGGTCCTTGATATTCTTTCATTTAGTAATAGCATTTAGATTTTTCTATCCACCATAGATCCCCTAAGAAATAATGTTTCCACACATATATGAGGCCCCTTGGTTTTGTATGATGCAATACAGGCATTGATTTTCCTGTCTACAATTATGGTGTCCTAATTTCCTTAGATATATGGACTAAGATAAAGTCTTCATGGAATTCCTAGAAATGAGTAGTACATCACCTTCCCAATCATCTTAAATTTTTACCCATTTTTTATTTAAAAATACTTGTATTGATCTAAAACAGAGATTTTTGAAAATTAGTGTAACGCCTTCTTTTGAAAAGTAGGGTAATGCCTTCCAAACATTTTATATTTTTTAATAACGAATTTACAATCATAAAAAATATTTCATGAAATTTAAAACAATGGATTTGAAAATGAGCAATGGAATGCCTTATTTTTACAAAACTGTAATATCCAAAAATAATTCCTGCCAATTTAATACATAGATCTAAAACTAATCTACAATTACATCAATTTAAAATAAAGGATTTAAACTTTCCTTTCTTTCTAGTTTCCCAATTTGAAAAGGATTGGATGTTTTCTTTAATAAGAAACTTTCAAATTAGATATTTGAGTCTAAGAAATATACCACCTACCAAAGTTTTTTATTGTTTGAGTACACAATTATTATTTCAACATTTAAGCTACTTTCAAAAAGGACTTTGAAACTTTTTGAACTTTTTCAAGTACAGCTTTATCATTATAAAATCGCTTATGCCAATTTACAATATGAGATTTGAGAAATAATTGATATATATGTCAATTAAAATACAGGACTGAAAACTTATCTTCATCTTTTTCCAATTAGAAACAGATCTTGAGGGAGTTAAAATCCACATCTATAAAGGTGGATACAGTCTATTTTTTTAATACTCTAGGAAATTTGGAGCATTGTTTGTTCCTCTTTTGAGATGCTCTAGTTGTGTGATTCCAAATCAAAGGAGAACTTTTCTAAGTATTTTCTATAGACAAATACTTTGGTTTACTTAAAAAATGTATGATGTATGTAATGCTTAAAATAAGGGATCAACAAAATATTCAATTATTACACAAAAGAGTCCTGATAAATAAGGTTTGTTCACATATATTTAGATTTTTCATTTCTCTTTTTCTTTTTCCCATTAAAAATGATTATTGAACTTTTTATTTTTTACTCATAGGTAAATCCCCTAATAAAATCTATATTTTAACAAACAAGGATATCTATTTTACATTTTATGTAAAGGTCCCGCTTTTTCGTCGTTTTTTATCCCCGAATTAGCCTAGTTCGAATACCCAATGCCCAAACACATCTCTCACTTACAAAAAGAATAAAGAGGAGAGTGTTCGATATTAGGTGTCCAAACCAAGAACAATTTGGGGATAGTACAAAACAACAAAAAAGTGAAACCTTTGCGCATAATGTAAAATACGTGATCCTTTTCTAAATATAGATCTTATGAGGGGATTTATTTGTAAATTTCCCTATTTTTATCACAGTTTATTATTTATAATCAATCTTTGTCAGTTTAAATAAGCGATTCAAAAATTGCATAATATTTCATTGATTATTTCTCGTGTTCCATATGCTGTGGACCATATAGGTACACATACACGTGGGGAATTCACCTATTATAGACTTGGAAGAGAACCATTCAATGTACACAACAGTCACAGAAGTCAGAAAATAGGGCATACAACAAATTTGATAAAAGAAAAATTCTAGCTCTATTCAGATTCAATATATCATTTGACTTGACTATAGAGAGGGAAAACCAAGGCTAACACAGCTAAGGAGTTCCTTCATCAGAGAAATCTAGAATGGCCAAGCATCAAAAGTCTAATTTAGGCCAAGCTCATATGCATTCCCATTTAATTGGCAGGACAGCACATGAATTAGAATAAAATTAAATCCATAAAAACTCAGCAACCAAATTTTGCAGCTAGCTCATAAATAAGATCACAGTGTATATGAGCAAATCAGTGCAAATGTTGAATATGAAGCAAGACGAGTAACTATACAAACAGCTGCTGCTGGTGGCTTTGATAGAAACAGTATCTTATACATACCTTAGAAATAGAAGTTACATTGATGAATAGACTTTGATTGGGTGAACAAGAAAGCTCACAAAACAGATTCAAAAAATTCCTGAGGCATGCTGGGCAGCCGACTAGAAAAGGAACTGCCTGCAAAGAAAATTTACACTCACACAGAGAATATTAGCAGAGTCAGGCAAACTTTGAAAGGAACCAAAAAGAAACAGAAAAAACATCCAAGTGTGATGGAACACTAAAAAGACGAATTAGTCATAAATAGCCCTACAAACATAAACCAAGAGTTTACGCCTGGCTACCATGGGAAAAGATAATGATCAGAAGAAAAAGTGCTCCCAAACAAGCCCGCCTTTTCTTATTCCTGTTCTTTGTGTAAATTATATAACCCACTCATGTGTCCAAGGTTAAAAATACCCACGGATACAAACATATACACAAGCATAATATGAATATATGATGCAAATAAAAATATGTGTGACTGGGGTTACATATATAAGGGGTGACATATATATACACTATATTCCATGTCCATGGTGATTATGTTGGTGCATGCCAAGATTTCCAATTTAGTGTAACCAGTCAGAACATGCGATGAGGGTTGAAAATATTGTTAGAGATAGCCTAGATATCTTAGATGTGTCCTCAAGGGGATAAAGGCAGGTCTGAAACCTTGAACATCATGTAATCTTTGAATAAAATTATAGATCATCACAAAATAATGTAGATGTGAAATCATCAAATGAATGAAAATGTGAAGAATAATATGAATAAAACTAGCAAGCGAAGAATAAGATATAAAAATAACTATGTGCCCTACTTGTTTCTAGTAATCACTATATTGTATTGACATCAAATGTGTAGAATTCAGTAGTATTTGTCAGTAATGCACATCCTGGTCTGTGATAAATATATGAAGAAAACCCCATTAAAAGAACCATTATTCTACAGCTAACAGAATCCAATTTCAAATATTAGCATATATAGTTTGCAGAACAGACAAAAAGTGGAGTGGAACCATAAAATGTTTATAAAATAGGTGATGTAGTGCAAGAAAAACATGAGATGAGCATCTCTGATTGTTTTAGAGTATCAACTAATTTTTGTCGTTTTCCATTTGTTTAGTGATGTTCTTTTCTTTTCTTTTTTATGAGTAAAGTTAACTTGTTTAGTGATGTTTTTTTTTCTTGAGGCAAGTAATATGAAACACTGAAAATTCAATTGGATTATGGTGATTCAGGAGCATAATTGTTTTTAAGCAATGAAAGCTTATTTGAGTATAGCATTTGTATGAAAGATTATCAATATGAACTGATAATCTGAAAGCATTCAGGTAAAGAACTGATAAAAAGCACTGTTATAGAATTGTCCAATCAATAGCAATCAAAAGATGTAAAATGCTCTGACCATCTGACATAATCAAGTAACAAATGAAATAGAGAGAAGCATAGAAAGTGTTGAAACCATAAGAAAACGGATCCATTAGGTAGCCATACTTGTTGGACTTGACCACGTAAAGTCTCAAATTGATCTTCTGTGCAGCAAACATTTCCAGTGATAGTCGAGCACAAACTTTGGATCTTGGAAGAAAACAACTCATCTGGCTGGGAACAAATAATCAAGCACTAGTATGACATTTCTTCAAATTCCCCAATAAGAAAATGCACTCATGATTTCAAAAACAGCAACAAGAAGTAACACAGCAACCTTATGCATTCACAGAGAAAAGAAGTGGCACTCGCTCCTTTGAGAACAAGGATCCAATGCATGAGCTTAAGATTGCCCGTAAAAAAACAAGGAACGCCTTTATCGAGTATCACTTGAGTTCAGAAAATAACATTGCATATTGCACTCTTAACAGTTCTCATAAAGCCACAATGGCTCATATAGAAAAAAAGAAAAAAACAACAAAAAAAAAAAAAGAAGAAGAACCTGAGTATAGAAAATAATTGCGAATCATTTACAAAAGTCTTGATTGCAATCAATCTCAGAATGTCTCTGAGGAAGCATGTAGGAAAGCATGAACCTGGACCTTGAGATGACGTGCTTGATGAATGTTTGAGACAAGCCACAGCAAAAAAGCTAATAGTGCATTAGGGGTGTTCCAAAGGTACTGAATCAGAGGTCTAAGTGAAGTTCAGAGAATATTGATACAGTGAAACCCCCATGTAGGAACCTTTTTTTTTCTTGCCAATTTAGAAATTTTTGTTGGGAACAAATTACCTTCCATACAAAAAGGTAAAAGCACCCCAAAGTATCAGACGTGAAATCAGATGTCTAGCAGCCTATTACTGATAGCACTCAAAGTCCACAAAAAAATTTCTTGGGACTTTGTACAGACCCCAGCCCATCAGACTTCAAATATGATGGGCTTTTGTACCACATGTACATGGCCTTATTGTATACAGTCCCAAATATGTTATTTTCTTTCGAGGAAATATGACTCTTCTTTTTAGTTCAGATCAGTTGCATGACTCAGACATTATTATGTTTTGCAGATGTAGAGATAGACTAGGAAGAACCATTGGTCAAAGGCAAATGTGGGAATCAAGCAATGTAAGACGGATGCTTATGCAGGATGGGTGGCTCATACACAATATAAGGGTGGCTCCAGCAGGAGTACCCATTCAATTCATGAGTGATTTCCCTCTAATCTGGACTAAACATATGGAACTAATAAAATCAAACGGTATCGATGCGATGTACATTTGCATGTATGCTATTCCTCCCAAAATGAATAAAATAAGATTAACTGACTATGTTAGAACAAACCCACTATAGATCACTTTGTGCATACAGTGGTTTCAAGATCATATAATGCACAGTTACTATGTTGAGCTAAAATGGCGACACATTCTGAAAACAAAGTTATAGAATGCATCAAGACTGTCAACATTGTACTGCCGCTCAAAGGCCTTCATGTGGCCATTGCATCCTCTCCATTCTATTTCACCATTTGCATAATTCAGAGATTCAGAATGTTGATGAACATTGTAATTCTTGGGCCGAAAATGAAGCAGGCATATCTTTCTCTCAGTATTATGGAAACATACTAAACCAAATGTATAAACCCATTGAGAATCTCACTTACATAGATGGCAGGCAATACAATTTTCATTTCCATTTGACATAAAAGAGAATAAAACCCACTCAATAGACAAAAAAGAAAAGAAAATTAGTTAGAACATGAGGAAAAGTACCTTCACTGCAGGAGAACCATAGGGACAGTTCAAAACCTTCCCATCTTTGCGCTGCCCACAGATACCGTACATGGCACAATAATCTTTGGCATGTCTGAAAACAATGAAAAGCCCAATAGAAGGAAAAATATTTTACAAGACATATTCCTCCAGTCAAAAGAAAAATAAGATTCACACTATTGATTAAAATCTGTAAAACTATGCCAACAAAAAAATAGTTTACAATCTGTAAAGTCCGGGAGACTTAACAATCTAGAACGAAAGACATGCTCAATAGCTATTTAAAACTTTAGACAATAGAACAAAGTGCTCGTACATTGATGAAGAATTGGATGTCAAAAGAAACCGTGAATCTGATCTCTCTCCATTCACTGAAGAAATAACAAAGACCTGCATATGGTAAAAGGCAATACTACGATGAAACCACGGTTGAGACAATCTCAGGCCACATAATAATAGAAATCAACCCTACCCCAATAAAAAAAGAACCAAAAGTTAGAACTCCTAAACTACACTTCCCACCATTTTTAGTTTAGGTAATAGCAAGAGAAATCATAATAATCCTAACATAAATAAACGAATGGAACATCTAAACCATATTTCCCGCCATATAGTGGAGAACATTAAAAGGTAACATCTCTTTTCTTTGTTTGAGGAAAAACATACAAAGGGAACATCATCACAACAATGTTTATGATCTCGCGAGCTTCAATCATTTCAATGCAACAGTAAGTGTCACTGTGTCACGGTTAATATTCCAGAATTTCTTAGAAACCGAAAAAAGTAGCACGAGAAAAATGCATCACACATAGTTAACCATTTCCTCAAAAAAAAAAAAGCATCACACATAAAGACAGCGAAAGGATTAAGCATGAGATTTCTTCTTCCTAAGTCCCAGATAACAGACATCAGGAAACATCTCCTGACGCAATTCAAACAGATTGAATCATTCCTGGTCAAAGACTACATCAAACTTAAACCAATCAAAAACGGTAAGTCCAAAAAGGTAGGTCAACTCACGAGCACTTCCAGAGAAACTTAGTCCAAAAACAAAAAACAAAACAAACAGAATTCAAACCTATTCCTCTCGTTCCGCCATTAAAATCACAACTTCACAGCACTCAAACTAGTAACATACTTACACAACCACGGCGAGAGCGAGAGAGAGAGGGAGAGAGAGAGAGAGTATAATACAAGTGAAACACTTGAAAATAAAAACAAAAAAAAATGCAAAATCGATTCTGATAAATAAATGCCATTCGAGCACTTGCCTGCAAGCTCCATAGGAACATTAATCCGAGCAAAAGCTCCACGATCAGCGTTCTCACACTCAGAAGCTCCATTTCTCGTGTGAGAGAGAGACAGAGAGAGCAGAAATGAGGAGCTAATATATCTAAGGGAAAGTATCTATATTACACAAATTATAGATTAGTTGCTGTAATTAATTGGTAGGTTCAAATAAATAAAACAAATTGTTAGAGAAAAGGAAAACAAAAGGGAAAAGGGAAAAAAATTTGAAGAAAATTAATTATGGAGGAACGGGGGTGGAGTTAATGATGGACCTTTCCCAAATCTAACCAACCCACCCACCATCGTTCTCTCTTTCCTCTTTCTCTACACGTGTGACTGTAGATTCACAGGTGTGGGCTTTGGGATTCACACGCGTGGATCTTTTTGGTGAAGGTGCTTTTCTCTTTTTCCTTTTTTTTAAAATAAAAAATTAAGGGATAGAAACACAGTTAAATTTAAAATTGTGACAATGGGAATATTTATTATTATTTTATCTTTTGAAAGGGCTCTAGCTACATGACATTTTTGTATCAAAACCAAAGTTTTACAGAACAGATTGGTGATGGTGATGGTGATTGGGATTGCCTTTCGGGATTTTCGATCTGATTAAGCGGATTAGCGATCTAAAAAACTTAAAAAATTAAAGTAATAAGTGGTTTTTTTTTTTTTTTTGAAGGTCAGGTGAAGGGATAATTGGTAATGGGGAGATTTTGGAATACATTGGAAAATGGAATATCGTGGGAAGAAAATATTCATTCCTTTTGTATTGAAATAGAAAATGGAATTTTGCCCTGTGAAGGAAGCGCGTGACTCTTTATGCGAAGTTAATGCGACCAAAGTCACCAAACTCAGCTCAGTTGTGGTAGCGACAAAAATAGGAATGCTCTGAGACCATGCATCTTCAATCACGTAGCCGTGGAATACCTAAACCGTACTTTGGCTTATCCTGTTCAAAACAAAAACTTATTTAGTTGAAAATTTGTCAAAATTTATGTTTCATTGATCTTAGTAGATATAATCGTATTAGTAGATGCGATCGTCTGGAATGGTTAAACAAGTAATTTGTCAAAATCTAAGTTTCATTAATCTTAGTAGATATAATCATCTGGAATGGTTAAACAAATTTTAGAAACTATTTTCTAATATATTTTGTAATCATCTGGAATGGTTAAACAAATTTTAGAAACTATTTTATAATATATTTTGTTTTAAACATTCATTATTTTTTTTTATTTATTTTTTAATATGGTCCAACAAATAATCGAATTAGTTTTGACTTAACCAAACCCTTCACTACTCTAATGCGTAGTCTGATCTTAAGAAATATGTCTTCAATTCATACATTACATTTTATCCTATTCAAAAGTTCAAATAAAAATATCGTTTAAAGGGTAAATCCCTTACAAAATCATTAAGGCCATGTTTATTCCCTCTTCCACTCACTATGGAAGTAACCGCTCGACTGGGTTGGGATAAAAGTAGCGTATCATACAAAACGCATGTAATGTACAATATTGCAAATACACCGAAATTATATCGCACATAGTTAACACTTTAAAAAAAAAAAAATTACACTTCTGGCAAATCAACCTCGGAAGTGCCATAATTGTGGAAGCATAAGCTTCCACGAAACAAACACATGCCCTAGTAGGGTTAAAATATTTCTATTAATATTATAATATTTATTTCAAAATTTTTATTTTATTCAGATACCTCATCAACAAATATATCCTTGTCAAAAAATAAAAATTTTGAACAATTGACAGCATTTAATAACCCAAACTAATTATATATGGCACTCTCGTCATTTAGTTCGGAACTCTTAGGATACTGAATGCCCTATAAGATTCTCAATCTTGTCTTGAGGCAGTAGACATATTTAAACAAAAAATTGGGCAAGTGACATAAAACTATGACCTCTGGCATTAATCTAGTTCATTTGACCTTATTTTGTAAGAAGGGGTTTTTGACCCTCAGCTCACAAAATCCCAGCTCAAGTGGATATAGAAAAGTAGGACCCATGAATCACTTCGTTTTCGTTAGTACATGACAATAATACGGATATAATTTTAAAATTTTGATAGTTATGTACTATCTTGAGTTTAAAAATTTTGAAACATTTGTATGGTTCACATTCTCCTTGAGTATGGCGTGAGCTCAAAGTGATATTATCAGCTAAAGAATGGGCTTTGGTGTCAGAAACGTTAAAATAATGGAGGGATCGGCCTATAAGCATCGGATTGATAGAAATTGATTGGATTTATGGCTTTATTGAAGATACGACTCTTATTGGAGCAAAATGACCGATGAAGATTCATGTGGCTGATCCTAATTAATTAGAAAAAAAAATTATGATGATGATAATAGAAAAGATACCGGTCCTTTTTTCTGATGTTGAAGCTCCAAATTGATTGCATTGAAAACAAAACAATATTTCTCCTCATATTGAAGCTTCAAATGGTTGCATTGAAAACAAATTTTATTTTGGTTATTGTGGTGGTTTTTTTAAAAAAAAAATTGTGGTGGGGTAGAGAATATTGGATAATGGAAATATTTTTTTTACAAAAACAAAATACTTTAAATTTAAAAGGGAAGATTCCAACCTCATTCAAAAATAGAAATGGTATGTATCGCCAAAAGCACCGTGTATAATTGTCCTCAGTCTCACTCTCTCTTTTTCTCTCTAAAAGCTTGTAAACAAATTTCTAAATATATCAATTAATTAGTTGTCTCTCTCCGAAATTCAGGCTTAATCGTTAGGAGGACATAAACGGCCTTGTTGATGGTCCCCATTTTCCGCTGACTACTACGCCAGGATTTTGGAGCGAGACTTTTATTTTTACTGCGCAAATGTGCTCCTACGAGATCAAATTGAGTATTTGCTTCCTCGTTCAAATGACCCCCCTTAGGAGGATTTATTTGATATGACACTTTGCAATTCACTCTCGAATCACCAGATTTTCAGATAATTGAGAAATTTGATGGTCTTATTTGAATATTGATAATATTTTTCTGAGTTTGAGTTTGAGTATGTTATACGGGTATAACGATTTTATCAAGGTTGAGATGTTATACACTGACGCATAATTTAGGAAAAAGTTTATATAAGGTTGCAAACTTAAAATGTAGAATTACACATGCACCTAAAAAATCTATTGGAATATATTGTTTTAATGTTTAAAAACCCTCTAATAGATCATCTCGACATTGAGATGTATGAATATGAAAAAAACAGAGTTTTCGAGACTCATAAATAGTACATCTTGCAACACATTATCTAGACCGTCTATTTTCAAGATTTTCATATAGTTATAGATCTACTTGATTTTATCCATTTTTTGAATTTAAAATTTGTAATTAGATATGAAATTAAATTTTAAGATAATCCTAAGAATTTTTTCTAACAAAATTACATGTTATGATAACATTTGGACGTGCACCTTAATTGAATTGTTTAAAATTACAACCTTATAGAAAGCACACCCATGATTTAATGTAAAAATTTACACATTTTTTATCAAATTCTATGAAATATCTAAAGTTGTCAGACTTATCTAATTACTACATACAAGGATACTGTTTTTGTATTAAATATGAATGATCTAATAATGTGCAATCGCGTGTACTAGACTTCCGTAGTAGATAAGCTGGAGAGGTGACCACTTCATCAAGTGTGGAAGATATGCTCCCTCAGGAGCACCTAAACTTTTGACTCTTTCTAAGTAGTTACACTTCTATATTTTAAGGTGGAAACTTCGGGATGTTTATTTCGTTTTCTCGTTGAGTGCCACGTTGTATAAGTTGCATGCCATTAACTTTATTGAATATTACTCATAAGGACCGCTAGTCTGATCGGATGCCATCATGGCATTCAAACTCCGACAAATGCTGTAAAATTGCTTTTGTGATCCACTAGACACACCAGCTATACAGCCTTCAATGATAAGGATGATTTGAAAATCCAATTTAATTATTTAATGAAAAAAGTTTACATAAGGTTACAACCTTAAAATGTAGAATTATACCCATGCATCTCAAAAATCTATTGAAAAATGTTGTCTTTATGTTTAAAAAACCTCTAATTGATCATCTCGACATTGAGATGTACGAAGAAAATAAATAAATATTTTGAGTCCCACAAATAGTGTATTTTTCAATACATTATCTAGACTGTCAATTTTCATATATTTATAGATGTACTTGACTTTGACCATTTTTTGAGTTATAATTAGATATGAAAATCGATTTTGAGATAATCCTAAGAATTTTTTTTATCAAAATTACATGTTATGATAAATTTTGGAGGTGGGCCTGAATTAGATTGTGTAAGGTTGCAACCTTATAGAAACTACGCCCTTATTTAATATGAAAAGCCTCGCCTCAATACTCGATAATTATAGTTGTCGAATAATATTTAATTCCGATTATCTGATTATGGTGGTTGTGAAAAAAAATATAGAATTTTAAATCTTAAATATAATGTATATTATAATATATTATCTAAAATATTATTTTTTAAGTGTTTATAGATCCACAATGCCTATACCATTTTTTGAGGTACAAATTTCACATTTGTGGTGAAAATATATTTTTTAGAGTCATGTTTATCTTTATTATTTTTTTGCATAAGGCTTTGGGCTTATGAAAAAACTCCATCATTTTACATTTTACATTGGGTGAGTTCTATACAAGTAAGGCGCACGTCTAAATTTCTCTAGAAGATGTAGTTATTGTGTTGGAAACTTTATGATGCTTGAAAATCCATTTTCGACTCTAATTATATTATTTAAAACTCAAAAAATTATGAAGATCGAGCAGATCTATAAACACTTGAAAAATCCTGAAAAATAGAAGGTCTGGATAACTTCTTACAAGATGTACTATTTGTATGACTTTATTTATTTCTTTACATCCATGCATCTTGAGGTAGAGAAGATCAATTGGATGGTTTTCCGACTCGAGAACACTCTTTTATATTGAATATAGTATAAGGTTGCAATCTTTTATAAACTTTTTTCTCAATCTTATTTGTAAGGTTATGATGGTATACATGCTTTTTTTATTTGGAGGGTGTAGATCTAATATGTATTTCAAGACAATGTTGTAAAAGGAACGTCTTTTAAGATAATTTTGAACCTACACCATCTAAATAAAATGAACAATATATATTATTGCAACTTTGTTTTTACAAATAAGTTTCGAACATTATATAATTTTTTTTTTTACCAATTTATTTTAATTTAATTTCAAAATC